TATTCAACAATAATGTACAACATTTACTGTAATGTAATGAATAATATTTGTACTTACAGTCACGTTAATATGTACACTAAGTAATTTTAAATTTTCTTAATTTGGCCGTTATCATAGATAAAGAACGAAGAATAAAAAACCAGCATAATAGAAAATTATATTCTTTTAAATACTCGTGAACAACAAATTGATAAATTATACTTTTAATATAAATAAATGTATGAATAATTATATAATAATAAAATAATTAATAATTTTATAATAATGAGTCACGAATAGAAGTACATTATATATTATTAGAAGTAATCTAGATACAAGTAGTAATTTTCAGAAATTTGATCTTTTTTTTCTTTTTTCTTTTTGCTACTGACGATGAAAATATTTTAGCGTGCATCATCCTTGATTTTATTTTATACCTCGATACTCCGTAAGGAACGATTGTAAAGTTAAATTGAAAATAAACAAACCGAAAATAAAAACAATCGATATTAGTAATCGTCGTTGCATCCGCAATAGAAAGCACCTTATCTCATTAGTTAATTAAGAAAAATATTTATAAACTTTGAAAGAAAATGTGTAACGATTGTCTGACGCCATCGCAAAAAGAAAAATTAGAAAACAACAAGTATGTCGCGAACGATATCGAAGGAAAGGGATAGAAAGTTCACTATCCCAAGCTATGAGAGAAGTAGGAGAGAAGAGACGGAAAGTAGGTACTTCGAGATATCGAGCGACAACCGCTCGAGTCAGGGAGTCTGCGGCGCATTACCACTCGCGAGAAAAATGACTGTGTTTAAAGAGAAAAAACGCTGACTGACGTCTCCGCTCCTTTTATAGATTGTCGCGAGAGCTGGAAAAAGCGTGACGCGATCGTAGTGGCTGGTATTATGATTTGAAAGTTCATGTAGAAATCGCGGATGCGCTAATTAATCGACACTAAGCGCGGCTTAACCCTTTTACCGATTCCACGGGCATTTGTGCGTCTAGTCGTTTTACTCTTCTTGCTTTCCGAGAGAAAGGGACAAAGTTCTGCCAACGGATTATCGAAGATTAAAAGTTAAACATTTCAAGATTAGGTCGAGAACCATCCTTTCTACATTAATTTATTACGGCTGGACTGGCAGCGGCTTTGCAATCGAGATACAATCTTATTAAATTCGCATCTTCGTTTCAATTACTTTTTCGAATAAAGTAAATTCTTGAATGATTAAGATATTAAAACAAATGAAGTAACAAAATCTATACGAGAAAGAAATTCATTTATTTCATTTGTAAATTAACAGAGATTATAATTTTATAATTAGCACGTATAATATTAACGATTAAAAAATTAATTAATAAATAAATAAGTAGAATAAAAAATAATGCGTTTTCATATATAAAGTGAAGAAAATTTAATTTAACTGAAATAACTCACGTTTATATCATCGGAATAACATTTAAATATTAAAAATAACGAATCGCTACAAGTGATTGAAAGTGAAGCCGTACGTGCGAAGCATCTCATGTACACAATCAAATAAGATAAAACACTTAATTAAGACTTTTATATTACTTTTTTTTAGCACTTTAACAATTTAACTTAATTATTTGATTTGAAAGTATTAAGATAAGAAGAAGAAGATAGAAGATAGAAGTAATAAGAAAACTTAATTATCGAGCATAAATTACACAAAGGTATAAAAATATAAATAAAACCGCACAATAATTATGACATAATGATATAGATTATAATAATTATTATAACGTTTATAGTGATGATAATAATAATTCTACTATCTATTTTACGGAACGTGACAAGTTACAATCATAGCACTACTTTGCCAAATCATCGATATCTTTTCATTATAACGAGATGCACTTAATTATAGCATTCAATTTTTATTAATAATTAATGACCACGCCATTAAATTTTATATAGATAAAAGAAGGATATTTATTTGTTAAATAAATGAGATATTTAAGAGTTGTTAATAGCATTTGTCTCTCACGTAAGCCAGTCATGTTTCATTTTGGATCTCTGAAAGATACGGATGATGCGAGCTTTCTACGCGAACAGCTTTGACATCATAATTTCGCCAACTATTAAAAACTGTGATGCATCTTCATTTACAATGACGGGTCGATCGATATCTTAGGGCATATTGAAATATGAAAAGACCAACCACGTAAGAATAGAATTTAAAGAGGCAGAGGATGGAGTCTGGACGGAGCGCGAAAGCCTGTGACGCAGCACAATAAAAACGTGGCGGAGTCGGAAGTGGCGTTTTAACAAAAGCAGCTTAAGCTCTTGTTGACAGAGGTGCGGCAACTCACGTCTACTAAACGCGAACACTCCACCCCTCGACTCTCGGCGACGGTTTTCTTTCAGGATGTCTACGGCCAACCCCCCAATATCGTTTGCAACGAGGACCGTCTGAAATTCTTGACCTTGACGAAGAAATCGAGTGAACTGATTCCTCGATGCAACCTCCGATAATTGCGCTTCATGTAATTTTAACCCCCCCCCAAACCCCCAACCCCGAACCCTCTTCCTAACAATCACTTACTATCTAATTCGATAGTTTTAAAGAGAAATATTTATGAGAATTTGATTTAGAAATCGATTATTCATAAAATTTCGTTAAGTCGCGCGTCGCGTATTATCGTCCGATCAATCAACGAGTGCTTTAAATATTGAGAAATAAAATTTATATTTAGAAAATGTGACTCTCAAATCTGCAAATCCAACTAATTCGCAATAGTGCAAATCCATCCATCCATACTACTACCACGAAACTTCTAATTACATATATAAATATAGTATAGACGTCGAAAATGACAACACGAGCTTTCTTTTAGCACAAGGTCCGCTTAAGTCTATATTTAATTTAACGGTTACTGCTATTATAAGAGTGCCCATCTAAAAAAAAATCTTATTAATGTCTCGATGATAGAAGACATGCGGCTGGCTGGTCAGCTCATTAGATAAACATTGCTCTGCGATAATCAAAATCCAAATTGGCGCGTCCACAAATAACTACTCGAATGAGCTTGAAGTTTGAAAATATTGAGTGAAAAGGGGAGTGAAATTCGAAGAGAAAACGAGAATTTGGCCCGTGAACGACCTTGCATACCGGATTAAATGGCCTATCAATGGCCAACGAGATGCATTAATATTTTATATACGGACGACTTGGCTGAGCACTTGGCCGGCAGTTCGTCCGCGGCGCTAAAGGGCGAGCAAAGCTGCGAGAGCCGCGCATTATTGCACGAGACGGCGTTGCAAATGTACACAAGTGCACGCAGCACGGAAATAACTCGCGTAGCCGATGTATGGCGGGAAGTGAAGCGCCAGCCGAGGCTGCGAGCGCAGTTTGTGAGCTCGTGCGCGCATCGTCGGTGAGGCCGGAAATCCGGCAGGGGATGCGCCTCGTCTTAGTCGCGCGATAAGCCCAGACGGGGAATTCCAATGGCGACGAGTCGGGAACTGGAAGTGGAGATCGTGCCGTTCGTCGGGAAGGAGGAGCGAGGGCCGACGGTGCCGAGGAAGCGAGCGGCTGAAACAAGGAGAACACGGTAAGGGCATTCCTTGGTATGAGTGATGGGACTTAATTACGATTTCATCAAGACTGAACGTCCAGCCGACGATTGTGCATTCTAAGCAAAGAACTTATTTGGGGGTGATTGTTTTGCCCAAATTGTTTTACCGAAAGGCAAGCAGATAATTACAATTAGGTTTAATAGCAGAAATTTAAGACGTCCTGAGAGTCTACCGGACTCTGCCGTGACTTACTTCACTGTGCAAATGAAATTCGCTTTACTATTACCACTAACTGTTCCTAGGATAAACTTATGTTCGTGTAATAAATATTCAGTCTAGTTTGGAAGTTTTTTACGAAAATCTCTGTTGAATCCTTTGTTCCTTAATGTCCTTTAGTTAAACAAAAAATAAAAAAAATAAAAATTTATTGATTTAAACAATGAAGTAATGCGAAGAGCTTTTATTTTTATGTTAACGTAAATAATAAAAAGCATGAAATAATTATCAACGGTAGATCATTATACAATATCAATATAGAAATTAATTTATGATCCCATGCTCTTTCTACATTTCGAGATGGAATGTAAATACTATAAATATAAATATGAATACTAGAAATTAACATTCAATCAAAATTTTAAAATAGTTTTTTGCTTACTTAAAAACCCATAGCATATTGATTTTGATTGTCACTAATATACTCGTTTTCTATGTTTATTTATAGTTTTCTTGAACAACTAAGCATTTATCCGATTACAAATAAGTTGTAATAAATTTACAATGTATTAGAATAATTGTGCCAGAAATTTGTTTAATTCACAAATAATTCCAGTTAATGTATTTTAACTATGAAATATTGTTTCATTTGTTGCCGAATACACGGAATTACTTTTCCGATCTTCAAATCCATTTAAATCTCAACTTTGCACCGGTTTTATACATTTTATGAATTTATATCCAACATAAAAGAAAACATTGTCTCACATTCGCGTTTTTAAATTTATATCATCTTGTAATTGTGCATAAACATTATATTATTACATGTTTGCATTTATTAGTATTAAAAGATACGCCAAACATCAATCTAAATGGCATAGAATTTTAAATAAACCCTGAACCACAATCTATCACTATATCTCATTTTATACGGTGTTTTATAATTTAAGCCGACGGTATGAATGTAAATAATGCCAACTCTATAATTCAAAATACGTACACATTATACCTCGAGGAAAAATGTTTTTAATACAAAAATTAACTTTACTTTGCACTTTATTATACATGTAAATTTGTTTGTTTATTATTGTGCGTAAAAGTAGAAGCCGTGATTTAGCAAAAATGTAAACAAATACTCTAGCGCATTAAGAAACAAAGATAATGAATAGAGACGAGCTTCTAACGCAGTCTCAATAACCATCCCCGATAATCTCGAAAAGAGCCTAAACTGATAAAACCCTAAAACCGTTTACATTCGCAGAACGTCCTTGTTCATAATAATGAGCTTCATCTACGCAAAGCTCTTGGTAGTCGTATGCATTGCTTACGTTATAAGCGAGGTGGTGACACACAAGCTGCCCCTTTATTACTACGAAGGCTTCTTCACCTACCTGTACGGCGTGAGCATCCTCTTCCTGCTCTACGTGTTCTGCTTCCTGCTGCAGGAGAGCGCGTGTTGCTCCCGCGGTGCCGACACGCCTCCGCCGCCAAAGCCACCCAAACCTCCAAAGGAACCCAAGGACAAGAACAAAAAGAAGGACAAGAAAGAGAAGAAAGATAAGGAAGCCAAGAGTAAGAAGGACTTTCAGGTATTGTTACAAATTCATGTTTGCATTTTTATTTATCAAGGGAGATAGATAGTATGGTTATTTAAGGCCGTTTGCCTATTCATTCAAAATCGAAATTCTCACGAAGCTTATTGTGCTTGTTTTTAATATGATCGTATTATTAGTATTATTAATCGGCTAATTAATAACTAATTGATTGTTAATTTTAAATTCCATATTTAAGAAAGATATGAAGCTCCAAGCATTACGTTAAATTGACGGCTTCTGGCTCGTTTCAATGTTTCTTCATGCGATGGTATTATTAAACAACGATGTCATTATGAATAATTTAAATATTTGAATTTCAAATAAAAATACTTACTCTTGTCATTTGCTTCTTCATTCTCCAAGCAAATACAAATACGATAAATCGTATTCTCGTAACCAACTCGTTAACGGTTCAACAACATTTAAAAATAATCAAATGACGCTTTCCTCGAAGAAGAAGCTAGAATAACGGAATTGTAAATAAAGACGAGCATGGGCAATGACGCAATATAGCTTATGGGGGAAGTTGTGCGAAATTTTGGAGAGGAAACAAAATTTCCCAAAATAGAATCCTTAAGCTTTCCCTTCTGCTCACTATATTCTTGACTTTCAAATCTTACGAGTTTCTTTTTTCAACATTTAAGAAATACAGCCAAAGATATTCAACCGTAAATTTCCATTAGCTTTACAAAGGCATTAATTCCGCGGTGATTCAACAGAGCCTAATTTATTTTGTCTATAATGTTCAATAATCAAATTATATGTTGTATTGTCTTAAAAATAGCCGATGGTTTAAAATTTAAAATATTTATAAATATAATATAAAGTATTAAATTAGAACAATGTAGTTAAAAATTTCCTTACTATAAAGTCTTGCCGATAGAATTAAAATTTTGCATAAAAATTACAAGAGTTTGAACATTATTATAGTAGCAGTGGCTATAATTACAGTTTCATGTAATATATAAATGGTACTTAATAGCAGCTCACATACCAGTAATTGTGAATTCGACTGTTCGAATTGTTATTATGAGCATTGATTTCCTGTTTCTAAAATTCCTCGAACTATAATATCTCTTGAATGAAAATCGAGCAAAAGTTACAATTAAAAAAAAAAAAAAAAAAAGAAAAGAAAAGAAAATAATGAATATGCTGTTTTGCATTTATATAAGTAATAAATGCTATTCCAGGTATTACTAATACGTAAATTTTGTTTATTATTTAAAATTTGAATTCCTTTCCAAAATTATCTAACATAAATTTTGTTTCCCAATTCCGTGTAACTTTCTTTATTATATTAGAAATGTTCCATAGCTATTGTAACCTACGATCATTATTATGCTCTAGAATTCGGTGCCTTGCCTCACAATCATGAATTAACCAATCGCATGAAAAAATTATCAATAACAATGATAATAATAATAATAATAACAATAATAATAATAATAATAACAACAACAACAATAACAACAACAACAACAACAATAACAATAATAACAATAATAATAATAATAATAATAATAAATTAATTAATAAATAAATAATAATAATAATAAGTAAAATTTAATTTAAATACTTTTCTTTATTTCCCTATTCTTATTGTTCAACGTATTCACCGTCTGCGGGAGGATTGCCAACAATTTTTCAGCTTATCGAATAAGTGACTCCACTCATGATGTAAAATAGATAAAATTTACGTACTGAATGTGCTTAAGCAGGAACGTTTATTTCAGGATGCTGCGGATGTTGAGGCTGGGGTCACCACACGTTCATTACGAAAACGGAAGACCTCCCAGAACGACTCAAGCCATGGCAGCTTCTTCCTGCGGATCGGCGCCATTGGTATGTGCAAATTTATGTCAATGTGGCTGTAATCATATGAATGATTTAAAATTGTGATGTTTGTACGAGAAAAATAGCGAGTCTAAAGGACAATTTCGAGTTACCAATATTTGTGTATGATTGTGATATACCTGACAGTTTAATGGATCATTCGAATTTTTAACGATACAAATTTTTATTATCGTACGTTGATTTAAGCCTTTAAACACTCAAAACATTATGACAACCTTAAAATATTTCGCTCGTTATTTTCCTCTATTATTATTATTATTTACACTAGTTTTAAAATACAAAATATTATTATCTTTTCGGCACGAGGCACTACACTATTAACAAGTACGCGAGAATTCGGGTTTCGTCCATGATTCAATTTTTCAAATCTAATTAAATGAAATTAATTTATCTATCCGTTTAGATCTTCATTCATCTAAATATAATTTATATAATTCTTGTCTTACCGAAATCTTAAATAGCTTTCAACTATCATTTAGCTGTATATTTATTCTACTTGATTTATTCTTATAAAATTCGAATACTAAATGAAATTTGAAAAAACTATTTCATAACTGTACTTTAACTCTCTTTTTGTAATTTTTTTATTCAATTAATTACCTTCCTTTTTAATTATTTTTATTCTATAAGTATCGTATAAGATAATGCCTCGAATATTGTTATTATTCTTAATAACTAATTTGTAAATATATAATGGCCAAGTTTTTGACATGTAATGTTTGTAATTCATTAGCAAAGTAAAAATCATTTGCATTTCTCTCCCAAGTATTATAGTTTTTCTTTAGAATTTCATTTGTACGTCTGCATTATTATATTAAACTATTTCTAAGGAAAAATTGTAATGTTGAATTCGTTTATTTAATATAAAAAAATCTGTAATAATTCTTTTCATTTGTTTATTTTTATTTTGATTTTCTTTCGCTATTCTTGCCTCCATTTACGCACGCGCGCGCGGACACACACACACACACACACATACACCGGCACGCACGCACGCACGCACGCACGCACGCACGCACGCACGCATATTCTATTTATACCGTTGCTGAAATCGATTTTTTTACGATCTTTCATTAATCTGATTACGTTATTGATTAATTTTTAAATTAAAGAGAGGCACAGTTATACTGATTCATTACTTTTAAGTCGACTATGAATTAGAATTAATTCAATTATATTTTTACCAAGTTCTATTCTAATTAATTCTTAAAACTCATTTGTAATAATTTAATTGGGAACTTCAAATTAAGCTTTTCATCGTGTACCAATAAAAAAAAAAAAGAAAAAAAAACTGGTGTATGAATTTTAAAAGATCTACTATTTTGTCTCAATTAACTACTTAGAAAATGTAACAAAACAAAAAAAGAAAACAAACAACTACTCACAAACATAACAATATTGTGAATATAATATTTATCAGTAGTCTGAGGTTAAATACAATGAAACATTTATCTTTCAATATTATACCATAATACATCCCATTGTATTTATATAAATAATTCATTAAACCGAAAAACTCATTCAAAATTTTCGAAAATAATCGAAATATTCCGTATTGTAATTTTCGTCGATAATTCATAAAAAGCATATTAATACCTTATTTTATTGAAGCTTTCGGCCTCGGAACGATGGTTTACAATGGATTGGAGTTTGGAGTTTTCTTCGAAGTGCCACCAACATCACCTTGCTATCAGATTCTACAAGGCGTTAACCCCGTTCTTCAGATGATCTTTACTTTCATGCAAATGTACTTTATCTTCATGAATTCTAGGGTAAGTGCACTTGGTCGCCAAGTGCTTTCAACGCTGTTTTTCCTTATATTTTCTTGAAACTTTTTTCGAGCTTTGATTATTAAATACACTATTACAAATTATATTGTTATAGTTGTCATAAATCTTTAGTTAAACTCGAATGTATGAAAGTTATAACGGGAATAACTACTTGATATGTCAATAGTAATTATTTTTCATTATTTTTAAAATAATGCACAATGATGCAGTAATGTATAGAAATAGTGCATAAATGTTGTATACTTAGGAAATCTCAACTTGTTGGAGAAACTTGCTAAAATATACAAAAATTTATTAAAATTATTTATTCATTATCATCAATATTTATGATTCATACTTACGATCGATAGATTTGAGTTTAAAATATTATTCATTTAATTATTGATTATTGATTAGTGATTATTTTAAAAATTTATATAATTCCTCTAATAGAATATAATATAAACCCTAATTTTCAGCTGAACATTCATCGTTTCAAAGTTGTCGCGAGATTCGGTCTAATGCACGTCGTAGCCACGAATCTGTGCGTATGGATTCGAACTTTGGTGCTCGAGAGTATTAAAGAAATCGCTCAGTATCACCGTAATCTGGGACGCGCCGAGGCTGGAATTCTAGGTAAACGGATATATTTGTATGTCCAATGGCTTAAAATGTTCACATTCATCGATTTCTTATCAATCTCTTTGCCTTATACCTAAGCAATCGGAATGAATTTTAAATCCGGGGCTTGAACGTACTTATGGGCTTCAATAATGTTAGTTGCTGAGTGAAAAATTAATTTTATATTTTGAACGTATGCAGCATGCAATCGCACAAACTGATTTAACAACAATAAAATTTTCCTTGTAGAGTACATATATGTTCATTTATTATTGAAGAAATAAGCATTTTATATTTTTAGAAACAATTTAGACATTAATGAGACACTTAGTAAGAAAAATCGATTACCATATCGGATTTAAAAATAAATGCAAACTAATTTCTTTTTAATTAAAAAATTTACACAATTAGCAATGAGGCAATAATGTCGATAAATGTTGTTGTCGCTTTGCATAAATGTCAAATGTCGATGAAAACTAGATCAGCCCACGGGATAAATAAATTGAATGAAAAAGGTTGAAATTATGAAAAAATATATATTGCATCTATTAATATATATATTTTTTTTTTTTTTTTTTTTTTTTTTTTTTTTTTTTTTTTTTTTTTTTTTTATATATATTTTTTCATAATTGTTAATATAAACTGTGACAAACAAGAGCATATAAGTGTGTATATTGATGAATTAATTGTTCCTTTAAGACAACTAACTTTTTATAATAATAAATAATTAATTAAAATTTAAATGATATATGTCTATTGTATATCATGAGACAATAAATTATATCGTTCTCATCTCAGCGAGTATAAAAGAGCACTCGTTACGGAATGCCGGTGCCATCCTCGGAGAACGTCCTCGCAACTTGGCCAATCTACGTCTGGGCCCAGGCGCGCCAACTCCTTACTCCAATAAATTCGCTCGCACAGTAGCTACGACAGCAGCGACTTTCAATCGTATGGCTCGCTCCACTGTTCGACCAGTAGCTCGTGCTATAACTCCCGGCACGACGACGACGACGACTTCGTCGAGTCTGTCGACGAGTACCGAATGGCCGATATCGTCAACATCTTGGCCACCATTTACCACGACAACCGCAGCAACTACGTCTACGTCCACTTTATCATCGACCAGCTCCTCCACTGCGGCAACGACTCTGTCAACTTTCTTGACGACTCTCATGCCGACCAGAAAGGACATCTTAACTTCTTCGAGCATCGCTTCGACCTCAACCTTAACATCATCATCCACTGGCTTCCCAACAGCGACCTACGCTTCCGACGAAATTTTCAGCGACTTTGATCTTCAGTCGGATAGTAAAAATAATATACCACGAATTTTCGATGTGACAAATGCAACGGCAAACCTTACTAGTGCTGCAATCGGCAGCAGCATCGGCAGTCCTCTTTGGAATCCGAGCTTCAACGTCTATGCCGAGGCACTAACTGCAAACGAAGCCGGATTATTGGCCACCAACTCCTGTGGTCGCGTCAACATTATGGGCACGATTGTCAAGGACGCCGCACCATACCTATTTCCATTTATTATCGAGTACAGTTTAATAGGAGCTGCGGTCATTTACGTTATGTGGAAGCATATCGGTCGCCATCCTCGCTGGCCACATCAAGCTGAAGCTGATCTCGAACGCAGACTCGAAGCTATGTTGTCACGGCGCGCCGTTGCTCTTGCTCATGCAGGTACGTTAATTTTTCATCATTAATATCCAATGCTTGTTATTACTAGTGTAATAATAATACAAAATATATATATATATATATATATATATATATATATATATATATATAACATTTAGCAGCACGTTGGGTGAAAGAAACGGCACTTGTAGGTATTAGTACGAAACTCGCACACAGTGATCGAATTAATTTCACAGATGCTGACTCGAACTCTTTTTATATATCTTTTGTAAATACGGCGTATTATATTTATATGTCGGCTTTCTCCTTTCATCAAACTTTATAAAATTTAGATTTTATAATTGATCGCAGATAATTCATGCTGTTTATAACTAATATTGTAAGCAGCAACCGATACTTCGTAAAAATAGATAGAGAACAAAATAACTTCCAAGTAATTAATAGATATTTCGGATGAAACATGATCGTATAATTGATGGACTTTCTTCAAAAGTAATTTTTTTTAGTCTTATACGTGATTACTATTATTATCTCATTGTGTTTTATTAAAATTTCAAAAAATTCAATCGAATTATTAATATTATTTTTATAACTTGAAAGCTTCAGGACTTGTAATTAGAAAATAATATTTTAATTAAAATTACTATACGCGTGCGTATAAATATACTTCCACGCACGGGCACACGGACACACACGACAATGCACCCTAATTATTTATATATAGATTTTTGTAAGTGATATAATTACTACTGTGATACAGTTTAATTTGATAAATTTACTCTTGTCAAATACACGAAAATTTAAGTAATACGAATAATTGCACATAGCTACTAAGGCTCATACTACCAAGAATCATACTCTATAAATATTCTTGAAATACTTTTAAGACATTTTATTTAAACGTCTATAATATCACAAAATGCTATGAAATAAAAATTGAAGTAGTTTATCAATTTTATTAAACACGTCAAAGAAAATTTAGTAATTCCATTTGAATATGTTAAGTAGCGGACCTAATCGATTATTCTAAAAATAGTTATAGAACATTTACTTATAAAAAATATGCATTTTTTTTATTAATTTATTGACAAAAAAAAAAAAAAAAAAAAAAAAAAAAAAAAAAAAAAAAACATCCGCACTGATTGTTGGAAAATTGTAATAAGTCTTTATCATACTTTAAAAACAAAATTTGTTTAAAAATATTATATTTATAAATGAAATATCCATGAATATTTTTAATATTTTACACATCAATGGAGTCATAATATTTTACTATTCTACAAATATATAAAAAATTTTACTAATTTTCAATATTGCGATAATAGATGTAATCAAATTTGGTAAAATATCTTTGTAATAACTAAAGAATTTGCTTAAAACTTGTTGTTATATGGATTTATAATATTTTTAAGCAATAAAAATTATCATGTTTATTAAAATTTCGTTAACATAAAACATCATTAATTAATTTATTTTTAAAAAAAGTCGAATAAATTCAATAGACAAAAAATGTATATTTATTACAAGTTATATATAATTTTTATCACAAGCCTACTTAGCAAGAAGCACGTATTGTTTCTTAAGAACGATATGTAATATAAACGGGAATTGGTATTCTGGGATTTTTTAAGCTTGCTGAATGTACAGTCATAATGTTAAATTTTAAATCTCAATGCCAGCTTCATTTTAAAATTATTAATATGGTTACATTGTAACTGTATTTTATCCTTCGCTTAACAGCCTTATTATTACACACATATCATTCATAAGCACACTGCCCTTCCGGGGCCAATTCACGCATATCGATATCACCATTTTCATTAAAACACTTCTTTCATTATTCTTGAACCTTTTTTCCTTGTCTTACTCATTGCTTTTAGATGAGTCGGCTGAAAATGACGAATCAGGAAAAGTCGATAAGCAGGAAGAAGTCAAAGTAGAAGCCAAAGTAGTCAAAGGTACGGCTGAATACATTAAATTGAGCAGCTTGAAAATTCTCGAATACCAATTATCCTAAAAGCTGGATAACTTCTGAAAGCTTTTATTTGGCAATTCGGACTGACATTCTACAGGTAGCATCTCATAGAGATTAATATCAGAACTACTATTACGTGGGTAAACAATCATTTTTGCACTGAAAAGTCTATAATAATATCGATAAAAATATATACAAAATACAAGTCAGTATTAAATTGAATATAAAGTAAGTTTTATAATTTATTAAGTTAAAAAAAAATAAAAAAAAAATGCAGGAGCTTAATGTAAAAATTAGATAACTTTTATAATGCTATGATATCGGTAAGTCTTTTATATAATAATATTATTATAAAAGATACAAGTACAAAAACGAATATACACAATAGCATAATAGTAATGAACAATTTTTGTTCACTACGTAACATTTTATAACAAATACTTCATTTTTTTTTTTTTAAATAAGAAAATCATCATCAAAAAGAAGAAAATATACATTATAAAAGTTAATTGCATAATTGTAACAACTGAAAATTTTAATATTATTGATAAATATTACGATCTTATGAATGTATATACAGATATGCCTATGTATGTATTGATAAATATATATAAATATATTGATATGCATACATAAGACTTGATATTCAAATTTAAATATAGCGAAAACATGAAATAATTTTAATCACCTCCTCGTAAACGTACCAATATTTATAAAAAAAAAAAAACACCTATTTATTTATTAAGAAAAATACTTATTTATTTAACACTAAACCAAAAGATAATCAGTTAGAGCACATATTTTATTATGATTATTTACTATAGCATTTTTAGACAGTTCTGAAATTTATAAATACGGGGATATATACATGTAGAATGCAAGTATCCGAATATGTATAAATAAATACCTTATTCAAACAAATGATGTTTAATAATAAACAGGTCATGGACGTGTGGACTGCGTGGGAGCCAGTAAAGGACTCTTCTTCGGACTTCTCCTTCTTGTTGGATCTCTCATCTGCTTAATTCTCTTCTTTGTGCTCATCCATCATCCAGATCTCGGGTTACTTGCTATTTACTTGGCAGACGTCTCTCACTGCGCTCTTATGGCCCTCTCGATCGTCGCAATAATCATCGGCTTCATACGTGTCCAAAGTCTCAAGTTTAAGGCTGAGGAGCAAAGCGACCTGAATGATATTCTTCTCCGTGTTTCTGCCTTCGGTCTATTCATCTATGCTGTTTTCAGCGTCATAGCTGGTTCATTGGCAGCCTTCACTCACGAGCCTAATCTTCTCGTCATGGTTACCGGCTTACTCGCCGTATTTCAGGTTGTACTGCAAATGCTTTTTATTGCTGACGTATCACGCAGGCGCGTTCATCTTCCTGAGCACGATCGCAGCAAGCCAGGACGTCAAATCGTGACATTCTTATTGATCTGCAATGTCACCATGTGGGTCATTTATACATTCGAAGCTCAAAAAGTCGCAGCGAATCCCGTGCAAATTGACTTTTATGGATATTTGTCATGGGCTATTGTGCAGAGGATCACAATTCCACTCTGCATCTTCCATAGGTTCCATAGCGCGGTTACGCTTGCAGAAATCTGGAAAACTAGCTACAAGGCACGCCTCGAATAAGGCGTTTGATCATCATCATTATTGCCAACTGCATTGAACTATGATAAAGGTAAATGTAAAGATCTCGGGAAATTAAAATGAAAGAGACGGAATGGAGTGTAACGGATTTCGAATAGAGGTGAATATTGATACTTAATCAATTCCCTCCTGGCACAAAAAGTTATTAAAAAGAGGATCTACTGAATTGTTGCACACGAGGATCAAATATACAAAAGATGGCATTCAATTATAACATGTCATAGAAATTTGTAAATTTAAACTCTTGACAACGAATTACGAACTCGTCTCTCTTAGCGCTTAGAGATGCGTTGAACAATTTTAATGTAACCGTACACAATTTGTTTCGCGAACTTCGGTTGTTTTTATTTTATACTTTGCATTTTGCAATTTAACTATTAACGCAATATCAGTTAAAAGTATAAAACAGTTTTAAACTAATGATAGAAAATTTTATCGATGCACACTGTAGATGATCTTACATAGATTAAATACTAGTTAATATGAATATCATTAGATTTTCGTGAATCTTAATAGTTCATAAACAAATATATATATATATATATATATATATATATATATATATATATATATAAAAACTGTATTTATTTTCTCATTTATTTTCTAAGTTACTCTTTAAAATATTAGCTGTGTTATCGGTAATATAAACTTTCACGTTTTCTACTTTTATACCTTTACTCATCTAATCTCTTAATCGCTTATAATAGACAAAAGGATAAGAATAATCATGCAAACAGTACATCTTAAGCAATAAAAACTCATAAGAATATAGACATGATATCGGCCGAACTTATGTCGAACTTTTAGTATATAGAAATATATAGTTAGTAAACAAGTGAGTGCGTTAATAATTTACTCTGAAAACAACAATTTTGATGAATTTTGTTAAATAGCATTGTAACGCGAAGGAGACGTAGAACGTTCGAAACGTTGTCAATGATAAAAAAAAAAAAAAAAAAAAAAAAAAAAAAAAAAAAAAAAAATGAAAAATTTCTTTTATAAATGATCAATATATAAATAATCAATAGTATGTTGATGAATTTGCCAAAGAAAAAAGTGAAGAGGGCGAAATTTAAATGTGTATATCCTTCTCTAATAAAAATATGCGTTTCAATCAATAGGGAACTAAACCAAATATAATTAAAGTACAAAAATTATTCATACATTTCGAAAGAAAATATGCAATAGTTCAATCGACTCACATTTAAAATCACAGATATACTCACGAGCATAGCAGAAATACTTCTTATCTGCTGTTTGATATTATGTGAACATATATTTGATCGATCCAAAATATTACGATAATACCATTTATTGAAATCCTCGATGAGAAAGTAAAAGTAAAGATAAAAAGAAAAAAGATAAAAAAGAAACAGACTAATGCATCAAGAACTACGTTAAGAGACAAAATATTCGAGTCCAGTAAAAAAATCATTAAAGTAGCCAACTCGTAGATGTACGCAATATTAATTACGTATCTGTCACGGAAGTAAACGAATAATAAAAAAAAAAAAAAAACATATGTGTCACTAGTGGAATACAGAGATGCTTTAGACAAAACAATTCATCCATTTATCACTAGAAAAATAACAAATAATAATGTAAACACACCTTTACACGAGAAATATATAAATAAAAGAAATATTAATTACGTCGCTATTGATTAGTGTCCAAGGCTAAAACTGTCGACCACATAACAGGATTGATACAGCAAATTATATACTATTAACGTCTCTAAAATGCTGGTGATATAAAATAAACATACGATATATTTCAAGATGTTCTAGGCAATATAAGAATAACTATAATCCCGATTATTTCACATAGTGGAAGGTATTTTCCCGTTAATTTCCCCGAAGTAGAGTCAGATAAAGATGAAGAATACTCTTTAATCGTCATCACAAACTCCGTCATATTAATAGCTTTTTGAGTCTAAGTATAGATAAAGTAAAATAAGAAAAAAATGAATAAAGGACATTATAAATAAGATATTATATTATGCATATAAATGAAAGAAATCACTGCGGATGATTTTATTGATGTCGATATTGGAGAAGGCGAAAATGGTTAAGATCACATTCGTTGTGTAAGAAAAGAAATAAGAAACACCATGATAACAAAAATTATTATACGAACATTATACATATACATACATCACTTATACATATATTAAAGTATCCAAAGCGACAATGCGATATTATTAAAAAGATTACGTTATATAAAGATAATATAAATATATATAATAATTATGTGAGGGTACAATTGTGTCAACTTATTATGTGCGCCTGAAAATATGTATTTGCGTGTGATTGGCTAAGTTGAAATGATGTAAATATCAGTGAATTGTAGCATGAAAAATATAAGCGTGATTGCATATATTAATGAATTTACATGATGTAGAATGGTCTTTTCATTAACTAACTCCCTTTATAACTTCTTATTTTTTACAATTGTATTCAATTATTTTAAGTAAACTAATAAAACATCATAAGACACTGCTTTTCTTTACTTGAATTAAGAATAAAGAGTCTCAGTTATATAAAGGCGTAGAATTATGTAGCTTAATAATCATAATTATTTCGTTACAGTCACGATAATGAGAACATGTGATACGAAATATATTTACTACAAAATATAAAGAAAGATGAAGTAAAAATAAATGCCAAATCATAAAAATTTGTTAAAATATAATTGAGCAAGGCACTGCCACACCGGACCAAAAATCGTGAAATGTGGAAGAATAAAAATGTTGACAAAAAGCATTGCGTTGATCGATAAATCCGACGACAGCAATTTCAACTACAAATAAATGCTATTTCTCTCTTTGTATAAGTTTTACAAGCGAAAAATACATTATAAATATTTCTTCACGTCGCAGACGCTTAAAATTTTTTTAAAAAAAATGACTGTCGTTAGTCAAAACCAACCGGTGATGATTTTTTCAAATCCATCTCTATATTATATGTAAAAAAAAGTTTCACAAAAAAAAAAACCGACTGCTTTTGAATTCTATAATGTTGATTCAAAAGATAAACTGATTGATTGAAATGTATTATCGATAGGCACTAATAATTATGTGAATTACAAAAGTATAAAAGCGATAAATTTTTGAATGATTGTGATGATTGAAGACGAACGAAAGAAATTGAAAAGAAAAACGATTAGGAATATTGATAAGCGGAGATAAGAAATATTGATTGAAGAACATTAAAAATAAAGTAAACAGAATGATTAATATTAATACCAATAATAATCTAATAATAAAAAATAATATTAATAATAAAACGAGAGGTAGTATGACAGAAAGAGAGAGGGTGATGTGAAATTAAAGACATTCTTGTATAAGTCCACAGATAATTTAAAATAAACAGTAGTTGTAAGCCTAAACAAGTATAAGGCCGTGGATTTGCAATGAAAATAAAAATCATAAGATTTTCTATAAGGATTTATAAAAATCTACCAATTTTATGATAATAATCAATAAACCATGAATAAATACATTAAAATCAAAAAGAAGAAAAAATAATTTTGTGTATTCATTTTTTCACTTTTACAAGAAAATGAAAGAAGGTATGATATGAACTATTTTTTAATGATATTTTGTCAATGATAAAATGTCTGTATAATTTAGAATACAGATGCTCTAGAGTCTCGAATAAACATACATGTACATTTAATAATTTTAATAAATGCATAAAAAGGTACTTGTGATTTAAGTTGTTCGATTGTTGACTAAAGTTCAATGCCATATGAGCTTATGAAGATTTGTATAAATTTTTACACCAAATAAGTTATAACAACACAGTACTTTCCAATAATTACAGATACTCGATTGTGATTTCCAAACAAAACAACAACAACAACAACAAAAATATTAAATCTTAGTAAATGAAATAGCAAATCCACGGTCTAGTTATTTAAACATTACGTAGAATGTTTTTGATGTCTTCGACTATAATTATTCAAGTCTGTACACACACGCACAAGTGACTCTTACACTTATTACTATACAATGACACAATCGAACATTAAATGTAAAGTAATAAATAAAAATTATAAAAGAAAAAACCAAGTACGTGTTATCGAGTAACCAGTTCTTCAAAAGTCGAGTAGAAATTTAACAATGTTTTAAAAAGTAAACCTAATAAAGGTATATTGAAGAGGGAAGAATAAAATTACATATTACGTATTATACGTGGAAGCAAATACATTAACAAATCAACAGAAATCAATAAAAATAACAAAAAAATAACAAAAAAAAAAAAAAAAAAATTAAAAGTAATCACATTACCATACTCTCGATTCGTTCGCCAATTCATTTATTATAAGAAAATAAAGCGTGATGATATAACATTTCATTGTATCTGTTTGAATGGCACGTGCAATGTCTCATCCGCGTAATTTGTAACGATAACGATAAAATTGATTAATAAAAGTTATCTAGATGTAAAAAAAAATCTCAATCAATTCTTCAATTAATCCATGGCAGGCATGTTATAATTTAGTAGCTAATTGATTATCACGTTATTAGAAATTGTTTTCTATATGTATAAATTTTTTGTTCATTTTATTGAAATGTATATTTATTCATTAAAGACTTCATTTTTCCATTGCATTAATAAAATATAAAATACATATATTTATAATTTATTTAAAGAAAGAATATGTTCTTTTTTTAGTGGTAATTTTACAACAAAATAGTTTACAATACGTAACGTAATTTCAAATTACCTTAATTACAAATATGGTTATATATTAATATTCAATTAAACATAAAGTACATTAAATTTTACGGTATATAATAGTTATATTCTAATTCTACGTAGCAAAAAAAAAAAAAAAAAAAAAAAAAAAATTATTCACTGAAAATTTTCATATTTAGAATAAATTTTTATTTCAATCCAAAAGGTTTTGTTCAAATGTATTATTGATTTATGTTATTTCATTTCTTTATATGATAAGTTTATTTATTTTTAATTTTTATTTTATTAAAGTAACATTGTCAAAATATACTTAATTTAATGATCCAAGTACATTGAGAAGCAAAAACAATGACATAGTCTAATATGATATTTAATTATTCAAAAAATGTTCATTTTGCCATTAGTTATACCAATTACATTTACTCTAAAGTATTGGTACAATGTATGTTTCTCTTTGATACTGATTAATGATTCAAATAAAGAATTCATTTCAAATACCTAAAAGTAACATGAATTTTAAATAACATTTTTACATGAATTTTTTTGTATTATTGTATACCTATTTCAATGCATGTTCTAATCAGTAAAATATTTTTAAAATTTACAAAGAACGTTTATTTATTATACGTACCTAATTTATAAAATTCTATATACATATTCATTTGTCAATTTTATAATTTTAATCAACACCATTACAATTAATGTAAAGCATTAATGAATTGAAGAAATTACTTAACAGAATTAGTATTAGTTTTAAAAAATTATACTTTTTCTAAAAGTTTTATGCTAATCTATAAGAGTTCAGAAAATATAATCTTTTAATGTTTTAACTATATGAATGTTTTAATGGGCATAGTTACATACTTCTATACACACATATATACAAAAAAAAATAATTTGGAATTACGAAAATATTTATTTAAAGAAAAATAAGTTGAAAGTCAAACTGAAAGTATTAATTTAGAATAAAAAAATGAACAATGTTTATATATTTTTTACATACTAATAAACACCTTTTATAATTGTAAATCATGATGACAAAAGTTCAAAAACTTTTAAATTACAAAAAAAAGTATACTGCAATACGAGTTTTCTTAATACGAAATTTGTAATAATTCGACATTTTTTTTCAAAATTTTATTTTAATTAAGTACTAGTACTTTAAATTTATTTTATCCATAATATTTTGCATTATTTTTATATTTATAAAATTCATTTTCTAACAAAGATCATTTTATTTTCTTCAATTTTCTTTTTCTTTAATAATCACTACTTCATTTTGATTTTTCTATTTTAAATGATTTGTTAACAAAACAAATAAAATTTATATAATGCAATTGTAAAATATTCATGTTAAATATACGTTATTTGAAGTATATATATTTTTTCAATCCATTGAAAGTACAAAACTTGAAAAAATCAGTTAAAAACTTCATATTTTACAATAGAATGTGTAATTCTTTCACAGACAAATACACCAAACTTAAATGATTGTAAAACAGATCGAATCTAGCTAAACTTGCAATATATATTAGTAATTTAGGAAATAATAAATTGTATGGCGCCATATTCTCTTGTTAATTCACCTATTTATATAATGTAAAAAATGCCAGTTTCAAGGTCAAAAACAAGGAAAACAAAATCAATTCTTAGCGACTTGTGTTCATTCGGTACTTACACAAACACCAGCTGTTATCTATAAATATATAGAGATACACTCAGGCATAAGTACATACATAATATATATATATATATATATATATATATATATATATAAACATAAATTTTCTATATACTTGAATATAAATCATAGCGACACATCGCATAAAGATCGAGTAGAGTGATGGCATTTACACGAAAATAATGGAGTCGATCATAAAGTGAAAGTAATCTTACAAACACGTAGACTTGATCCAAACAATCTGACGCCCAACGTTTGAACCATTCTCCTTTTATCGAATCCATCACTTCACATTTTTTAAATCCACATTTATCTCATGTATAATACACTTGATTTGCATGGCAGTATACAGTTTCCCTTGTGTATAGAGTCATGCGAATGCGAACTTTGACCTCACCTCTTTGACAAATCTTTCCTATGCATGGTAAGGATTAATAACGGCACCGTTGATGCTTGTGGATGAGCTTGCATGTGATTTGCAATGAGAAGTGCCGAATTCTTTGAGAAGTTCAATTTCAATTAAAGCAACATGAACTTTTATGAATTCTATTAGGTAAATATATATATATATATATTTAAAAATATTGAATATTCGACGGTAAAATCTTTGTGAATCGCTTTTACTTTCAATCAGAGAAACCATTAAAACCAGATACGTGTATAATTTTTAATATTTCACTAATAGTTACTTAAGATCAATAGATGACTGCTATATCAATCACATTTTATCAGTGACTCCTATTGAAAATGTACCTTCATTAATGAAAAAAAAAAAAAAAACAACATGAAAAAAAACTACATATAATATATATGAAATTTAATTAAATAAAAATAAATGTTCTACTTATAATTAATTAAAATAATATGTTCTTAATATTAGTTCACATTTCAAACATCTTAATTTTAATTTTATACACTATTAAATTTATATCATTTTATTATATCTGAAATTATAAACTTTAATATTTCTAATTATAATGTGACTACAAATTTAAAAAATGAAATTACAATTTTGAAACCAATTCTTCGGTTTTTAAACAATATCTCTAAATATCATAAAAAGTCAAATTAATTTATATTTGTATTATAAAAAGATACATAGAATATAAGTTTTTAAATATTATTAAATCTATCCTACAAGTGATTTATTTAAAATGTAAATTATTTACAAATAATTAATTTTGAAATAAATAGGTTTAATTTAGAGTCTTAAAATATATATTAATTATACATTTATGAAAAGAGCAGTTATTCGTTAGCATAAAATCTTTAATATGAACATAAAATTTCGTGTACAAAAATTTATTATTATTTATTCTATTATTTTTATATGGCAATTTGTGCTATAGTAATTTGTAGAAATGAAAAATTTCTTGGTTTCATAAAATCCTTGTTCAATCAAGAGGTAATTATTTATACAAATATTTTATAAGAATAATACATATAGCCAATTGATTATTCAATATGTTATGACTTTATAAATCATTAATTATAAATGAGTAACACACACACACACATATATATATATATATATATATATATATATATATATATATATATATTAAAATACTTATTAATTTATATTTAAATTATATGTAGAATATATAGAATATACGAATGACAATTTATTGCATATTGAAAGATAAATATTTAATTTCTCATAATTTACTTATCATTTTCGATCCTTTTAAATTTGCAATTCATAGATAATCTTCTATAAAATAAAATTACTTAATATTATTTTTATAAATTACATATCCTCATAAACTTGTGAAACTATGAGCCCACTTGATTTTCTTCATTAAAAAAATAATTTTAATTATTCAACATTTGCTTTAAATTACTAAATATTGATTTTTTTTTTTTTTTTTTTTTTTTGTAATATTGTTTTACATTTTTTTGTTTATATCCTGGAAAAATTTGACTTGCTAAGTAAAGTAATTATTTACGGCACCATAAAAGATCTCCAGCCGTAAAGAAACGTACGTTCGTATGTAAGCAAAAAAAAAAGTGACAATTAAGTGATCGTAATTTAAGGTAATCTCGACCAACAGTAAGTACCATTAAAGACCTAAATTTCAATCAATGAACAACTTAATATAACAATTTGATTCAATAATTTGTGCATTCATAGTTACGCGCTCCCCCCTCCCCGCGCTCCTCACACAATGTATAATGTATATAATGTAAAAGCATGCCTACTCTTTTCCTCGCGGATGCGTGACTTTCTTGTCTCCTTACACTTTTGCCGTTACACGATTTGCTTCGATGTAGCAATCCCCTCCTTCCGACAGTCGACGCTTGTTCGCGCGGCAAATTGCTGCTTCGTTGCGTTTGAAAGTCAAGCCTCCGATGGGTCGAACGTTCACTCACTCGGTCGGCCTAACCTTTTCTACAGTCTGCTGATTTGCTTAACAATTTGAGACTGACGACTCATCGTTACATATGGGAAGCCTGCAGGAGATGATCCAAAATCAGGGCGATTTGGTGCGAAAACTTAAAAGCGCCAAAGCCGATGCAGCCCAGGTACGTACGACCGTATGGCATCGCGAGACCGTATTTTCTCTTCGGTTCGCGACAGCAGGAGAATAGCACGTGGAGAAGCGGAATATTTCCCTTTGCTTTCTAATTGAGCGTTCCTGCTTTCTTTTCTCTCTCTTTACGATCCAATCTTTAAAGTTAAATCGAGCGATCTGGTCGGTTTTTTCCTACTACCGTCCATTATTTGTTACAATAAGTAGTCCACCTAATTTTCATAGTTTTACGTTTTCTATATTGGCTTCGATTTTTTAATTAATAAAATCTTCTATTGCTGTAATGGGAATGAGTGCGCGTAGACTTTTATATGGCCGGCAAGATGAACGATTTATGAACGATTTATGAACGATTTTATATTACTTATTTTATATTACTTAACTTATACTCGCATTCCCAAAATATTCTATATAAATTGTATATAAATTCAAGTTCAAATCATAAATAAATAAATTTACAAAGACTTTAAGCATTCAACGTGGTCACTGATTACTTGTAGCTTCATTTTTTTATCAACTTTTTATACTTTGTGAAATCTACTACCCAAACTATAGAAATAGACTATGAATTGTTTCATCATCTTTCTTCAATCGAACATTTATCACACTTTATATCTACTAATATAAATTATGCTATTATCTTATAAGTGATAATTTTATAAAAATAACATTAATTTTAATGGATACTACTTTGAAGGTTCAATGTAAATTGTTTAAATTTGTAATATTTCTATGAAATATATTTTATTCGCTATTTGATTCTATACAAAATATATTTTATAATAATACTGTTAATTTTTATAAACGCTACTTGGAAATTTAACCTTGTCAGATTTGTAAAAGTAAATCAGCATATTAAATTGAAATAGTTTCGTGAATTGGTTCGTTGCAATTAATCAGAAATAGAAGATTTGTATATCAAAAAATTAAATATTGCAATATAATTATTATGATGTTGAAAAGGTTATATTCATATCGATTATTGGTTGAATCTATTGAAGAATATTATTTACATTAGCTATAGAATTATAAGAATTTTTCATTATATTTTGTCAAATATTTATATATGTAGTTTGAGAAATATATATTTCTGAAAATTTATAATGCAGATAAACAATCAAATAAAAAAATAAAGTAAAAATGTCAATGAGTCAATAGATACGTATACCATTGAAAACTTTAAAATGATCTTAAATTTAAATTAAATTTAAACTTAAATTTAAATCAAATTGTAATAATAAAAATAGTTGCTATTATAAATGATTTTGGTTTGAAAGATGATATCAATATTTCAAAAGTTTTATTCCATGAAAATGTACAAATACTTTCTGACTAAAAAAGTTAATAATTTGATAGCAATTAAAGTAGATCATTGCAAATTTGTTAATAACGATTTAGATAAAAAGATGAGGCAGTAATTGCATTCTTACAGTACTGCCACAGATATTTTAAACCTATTCTGATAATAATAGCATAAATACTTCTTAGATTAAATGTTCGATTTAATACTTTCGCACTTGTAATAAAATCTGAATTTAACGTATACAAATAATATGTATATTTGCCTGTGCCTATCCGAATACCTCTATTATATACATATTAAATACAAATAATTATATTAAAGTGCCAATATAAGATTCAATTTGAACAAATCTCTGAAATGAAAAGCTATATATATATATGCAACTAAGAGCTTAATTAATAAGTTGAAATATTAATTATGTGTCTGTGGCAGTAGTATACTGGAGCGCTAACTTAAATATTATCTGGTGTTTTACGTAGTTTAATAATCAACATTGAGGTGGATTTAGTCTTTCATGTGACTCCATTCGTTCTTTCGCCATGCTACAACTGATATTTACAAATCGTATACTTGCTACCCGTTATTACACGACTGTAGTCGCTACTACTCAGGTACGCGTATCTACATGTCGTCGGTTATAATTAAATAATATATGTAATAAAGCAGCCTTTAATCCATGTATCTTTTTCAGATACAAAAAGAAGTTTCAAAACTTCTAGAACTGAAAACTCAACTAAGTGACGAAAATGTTGGTTCAAAAAAACATTTACTTAAAACACCAAAGGGAACAAGAGACTATAATCCTGAACAAATGGCACTACGATTATCCGTTATGGATAAAATTGTCTCTATTTTTAAGAAACATGGAGCTGAATCCATAGATACTCCAATATTTGAATTGAAAGTAAGAATTTTATTATCAATTTCATTTTCGAATAACAAACTTTAATTATAGAATTTATTTGACCATAATTATCATTTGTAGGATGTATTAACAGGAAAATATGGAGAAGATTCAAAACTTATTTACGATCTAAAAGATCAGGGTGGAGAAATTCTTGCTTTGAGATATGATTTAACTGTGCCTTTTGCCAGATATTTAGCAATGAATAAAATAACTAACATTAAGAGATACCACATTGCTAAAGTATATAGAAGGGATAATCCTGCAATGACAAAAGGACGGTACAGAGAATTTTGTCAATGTGTAAGTATAACAATGATTTAACATCGAAGAGATAAAATTTTTATAAATATAATAAATAAAATTAAATAAAATAGTACTTTTGTCAATTAATGTTTTAATAAATTTATTATAAATTTTAGGATTTTGATATTGCTGGACAATATGATCCAATGTTACCAGATTCGGAATGCTTACGCATAATTTATGAGACATTGAAATCTCTAGATTTAGAATCTTTTAATATAAAAGTGAATCACCGTTGCTTACTAGATGGAATATTTGCAGCATGTGGGGTTCCTCAAGAAAAATTTAGAAATATATGCTCGTCTGTTGACAAACTCGATAAGACTCCATGGGAAGAGGTACGAAAAGAAATGACTGGAGAAAAAGAATTGAAAGAAAGTGTAGCTGACAGAATTGGTACCTATGTATCGCAAAATGGAGGTAAAAATCTTATTGAAGAATTGAGAAAAAATGAAGAGCTAATGAAGCAACCTTCCGCTGTACAAGGACTTGATGCCATGGAGCTTCTTTGGAAATACTGTGAACTATACCAAATTTCGGATAAAGTAACTTTTGATCTTAGTTTAGCCCGAGGTCTTGACTACTACACAGGTGTTATTTTTGAAGCAGTATTAACTGGTAAAAATTTTTGTAATTGTTCACTTAAATTCTATGTTTATCGTCAAAATAAATTTACTTCATAATCAAAATGCATTAACAATCCAAATGAAATTTTTATTTTGAGTTTGCAAATGTTTTTAAAAAATGAAAGAAATGAGAGAAATTTGTGAAATTTGTGAAATTTACTTTTAAACTGTAGAAAATTTAGTATGCGTACTCATTTATATCTATATATGATGATTATAAATTTCAAACAATGATGTTCGTAAAAAGCGTAAAGAAAACTCATTAATTAAAATTAACGTGTCAGTTATAGAATTATATGTCAATCATAATCATAATCAAAAATAAAATTTTGTTTCTGTTTTTCCAGGTGACAATGTTGGCGTTGGTAGCATTGCAGGCGGCGGTCGCTACGACAATCTTGTCGGCATGTTCGATGTCAAAAATAGAAACGTCCCATGCGTGGGAATGTCTCTTGGGATCGAGCGCATCTTCAGTGTCCTGGAGATGTCTATAGCTAATCGAGGCAAGAAAACACGCACGACCGAAGTTGAGGTCTACGTTGCTACGGCCCAGAAAAACCTCCACGAAGAGAGAATACGCATCCTAACTGAACTTTGGGAGGCGAACATCAAAGCCGAACAATCATACAAGAAAAATCCGAAACTTCTCGTGCAATTGCAACATTGTGAAGATCATGGCATACCACTAGCAATTATCATTGGTGAGGGTGAACTCAAAAGGGGTGAGGTCACACTTCGAACTGTGAAATCAAGGGAAGAGACTACAGTGCCTAGAGAAAATCTTGTTGAAGAATTAAAAAACCGAATTAGCAGTCTTGAATTAAGCGCTGAATACTAAATAATTTCTTAATTACCATTGACACTTCTTAGATACATAAACTACGGACATTTTTAAAACTTTTTTCAAAACCGCTTGCATAATTACAATATTTATAAAATGAAAATAATATTTCATAAACCTTGTTGCCACAATCTTGTTTATATTTATTAATTTTCATTTTCTCGTAATTTAATTTTATAACTAATATTAATTAATTAAAAACTATTTAATACTAATTATAATAAAAATATTAATATATTGATATTCTTATTAAAATCTAGATAAATTCACAAATTTTACATAAAATATTTGTACACTACAAATTTATCTACATTTATCTGTTTAAAATTAACGTTTTGTAATTATTAAAAATATTATTTTTATATAACTTTGAATAAGCTAATTTGAAAATGAATTGATGGAAATATTTATTTAAAAAATCCGATAAATGTAAATATATATTTAAAAGTAAGACGTTTTATTAGAAAAATTAATTAACGTTTTTTTTTTTTTTTATAAATATTTGCTATTTGTACTGAAAAATCAAAAACGTTCAAATATAGATAATTAGTATATTAAATTATTTTTATATTATTTTGGATAATGTTTCTTAGTTGTGTCATTTGTAATAATTATTGAAAAAATTCTAAAATTAAAAAGGTTACAAACTTTAAGTTTAAAATAAAAAAATTATTTTTTTAAATAAGACAATATTTATAGAGATTATATTTAGCATGCGTATGGATATATTCCAACAGTAAATGTAGTTTTACTATATTTCTATTTATTAACAATTAATATTTAATGAAAAATATGAAAATAATAGAAATAGACAGGTTTTATTTATACAGATTAAATCGTTACTTTACAATGTAACAAGAAAAAAAAGTTACATATATTTGCAACAAAGTGAATCAAATACTTTATTAGAATTAACGTTCTTAATTTATTTTGTATATTTTTTATCAAATAACTCCCAAATTTATCTATTTTGATACATACTACACATTCATTCGAATAGCTAATGTTTAGTATATTTATTTGATTCATTTTGTACAATAATATCGTAATAATTCACTTTCAGAGATAATATTAAATTTAATGAAATGTTGTTATATTATTTATTTCTAATTATTTATTTCTTAATTTTGCAAATAATAAAACAAATTCAGTATTTGTCATCTTAAATATAATCTCTACTAGTTTTAAAAATAAATATTTTAACATTCTGTCTAATTTGTTAACCTCCATAAATATTTGTTTACACTAAGATCCGCAAATAGTACATTGGTTGAAATACTTTTTGTAAATATATTTTTCGACACCAAACTGCTTTTTAACAAAATAAAAGAAGTGTTTATTTCCTACAGTGCAATAACAATTGTATTTAGTTTTCGCCGTGCGAGAAAAATAAATTTAAAGCACTAAGTTTACTTTATGTAACGAAATATTCGGATTTACTCACAATTTCAATATATCCTCGCTCCTAAGATCTTATTTACTACATCACATTTAAAGTAATTTTTTGATCTGACGGAAAAGCAATCCAAAGATGATTTTGACAGCAATTAGTGAGTCTCGATCGATTTTGAAAAATCGTATATACTTATAATGGAGAATAAAGTTTTTCTTAATAAAATTAAGTGATGAGTTTATGTGTCTGTAATGTAAATTCATTTATCAAAATACCAGTATATTATGTACAACCATTTGTAAGTTATAGCGTCATTTATTAATTTTTAAACTAATATAACTCAATATCGAGAGAATATTGCATAATAACTGTATTTTTAATAGTCGTTTTTATACCGTTTGACTAACTTTGATCATTTTTCATAATTCCCTCGTAATTCGTGAAAAACCAATAAGTCTCATTATTTGTTGCATTGGTAATTAGTGCAAAATAAACAAAATTTGTAAACTTAAATTAATATGGATACTAACTTTATAAAAATGAAGAATTGACGAGTTTTTTTTTTTATTATTTTTTTTTTTTTTTCATTTTCTGTCCCATTTACTCTTTCTCATTTATGCATACTGTTACACACACACACAGACACAGACACTGTTTTACTAAACAAAATTAATCGCTACTAATGTATATGAAATTGTTTCTTCCATTACAACAGCATATATTTTACATCCCATTCATTATTTCCTCACGTTCATTTACTATTACGTTCTCAAAATTATATTCAACCTATATATAACCAAAAATAATCATCATTACCTGACCAGATTTCACTTCTATATTATAATACGTAAATACTCTACTCATTTACAATCCAATATATATAGAATGGATAATAAAAAAAACTGTAAACTAAAGTAATGATGAACCACCGGAATTACAGATATATCCAGAAGAAAAAAAATGTAAATTTATTAAATAACTAAAATATTACAACTACAGCTCATTTTATCATTTAATAAAATCTTATTTCTCTCAAAGTTAACTGTAAATTTTCAATTATCTAGTATAAGATAAGATTATGAAAAATTTATTTAAAACAATAAACGAAATTTGATGTTACATATATTGAAAAATTGCTTAAAATTAAAACAGCTCATATATTTACTCAACATTGATTATTTTAACGTAGAGATAAAATGTTCATTCATAAATATTTTCAAAATAATTTTACAGTATTGGGATTACATACAATATCTTTGATTGCCTTTGATAATGAAGAGAAATCATTATCTCGTATTAATCATTTTATAAGGTTTCAGACAGGCTCGCGTTTTAATTTTTATTAGTTTAGTTGAGAAACAAGTTAAGTCTTCGAATGAAATAGAAACGCATGTAACTCAATTAGCAATAATAGCCATTTAAATTGTTCAATAAAATTTTTATTTCGGTAGACCAATCAACATTAATAGACAAAAATGTACATTTTATTCTTTTAAATGTTGTTATTTTTATATGCTAAATATTTGGACTTTGCTGCACATAATCTTTTACACCTTAGTTATTGTAATATAAAATTTTTGCTACATAGAAAAAAATGAAGTAAATGTTTTACTTTAACACACCCAGAGTAGCAAACATGACGTGCTAAGCTATAATTATTTATGTATCAATAAATTAGTTAAATATATCGTAAAGCAAAAGAATGCTAAACCTAACTATCTTCATAATCTCTTAGATTATTCTATCATGATGGTGAAATAAACAAAATTTTCTATAATGTTTTAAACAATATTGTACAAAATATTCATCTTTAATTGTTGCCAGTCTACTTTCTCAATATTGATCAATATTTTGCTATTGATATGCTCTCGTTTCACGTATTTGCGAATAATACTACTACTAATAATACTAATAATAATAACAACAACAACAATAATAATAATAATAATAGTAATATTAATAATAAATATCCAATTGTATTTTATATTATTTTTCCTATTTTTTTATTGTTAAAATTATGTGAGACTTTCAGAATGTCTGTTATAGCTGTTAATGCTATAATTAAAACAAGTGTAAAAATATTCTTGATATTAAAATTTCGATTGTTGCAATAAATTTATTGTCTTTGTATAATACTTTCCATTTAATTACAAATTAAGGTTGAACATTTCGTCAAGTATACATATAAAATTATTTACAATATTCAGGACGAATTATACTTTCATAGTGACTATTCAATCATATTTCTTACACGAATTCGCTTTCAATTTGTATGAACGTACACTTTTCTTAATTAGTAATTATAGATTTATAAATGATTTTCCTTCGCGTTAAAAATCAATAATAAAAAGCGATTGTTATTAATTTAAAAGAAAAAAAAAAGACTTATGACAATTGGTTTACGTACGTTAAAAAAAAAAAAAAAAAAAAAAATTACAATAATTGAATAGTCACGTTAAACCTTAAATAATAGTAACTAATTTAAAACAAAAAAAAAAAAAAATAAACAAATACCTAACTCGTACCTGCCGAGTACTGCTTAAAGTAATTAAGGCTCGCAGTGCTATCACAGTATAATTATTCAGTATATGATTGAAATTGTCATTCGCTAGCAGTGTTTATTTCTCTTGCTATAGATATTTAATAAATCTAAAAACAGGTAATTCTATCGCTTGTACGCGCTTTAAAATTTCACAAGAGAATTATTACACTTTGCCGGAAAGGATTTGTGTATCTTGTAAATATGCAATATATATATATATACTATAGCGCACGTCTTGATTCATTCAAAACGCAAAAAGTAATTTAAATACTCTGCAGTTTTTTCGATAGAATAATAAATACTTTGTAACCTTCGATTATAGTTAAAACAGTTTCAAAAATTCTGTAAATATTTTTTTATAAATATTGTCATCGTTTAGAACTCTATAATAAAGTAATTGTTTTGATAATCTTGAATTATTAAAATTTTATTTCATAAATTATAGATATTCGATACGCAAGTTTACAGATAAATTTTAGAAATTAATATTTTTAATAAGAATTTATTGTCCTGTAACATAAGTTTCCTTTTAAAAGTATGCTAAGCTATTTAATTAATTGCATTACTATTGATATTATCAATGATATCATTGATATAACATGAATGTGTAATTGATTTCAAAACACGAAGAAGTGATTTATTAAAGCGATTTATCAACCAAAAAATTAAAAAATTAGTATTTAAACTTTTTTAAATTTTTAAACCTTTTCTTTTAGGTTTTAATCACTATTTTATCTATGGTATACTTTATACAAATTTGTATTTAATAAATATAAACTAATGAAGGAAAAGAAATATTAACGACTCTTTTTCGTACTAAAAAAATATTTACACTTTTTTTTAAACACACTAATATTACTTATAAAACATGAAACACAGTTTTATTCTACACGTAACAGACAATATACTCGAATCATATCCAATTCAAAATATATACAAAATATAAAAAAAAAAGCTCATTTTTAAAATATTTGATTATAAAATATTATTTAACTTCGACTGCAACTAGTTAAAAATATCATTTAGGCCTAAATACAAACTCACATTACATTTTTCTCGTGTACATATTTTAAAGCTCGGATATTAATTTAAAAACCGTTTTTCTTGTCCAACCGTGAAAACTGTATTAATTTAAAGCAAAAACTTCTACATAACACGCCATTTCCAATAGATCTCAATTGCAGGATCTACGATGCTCAGGTGTGAAGAAACGGAACAAAAAAAAAAAAAAAAAAAAAAAAAAAAAAAAAAAAAAAAAAAAAAAAAAAAAAAAAAAAAAAAAAAAAAAAAAAAAAAAAATAATAATAAAAAAAAAATGAAATAAAATAAAACAAAAATAAATAAAAAATAAAAATACTTGATCGTACAAAATCGTCATTGACTCGTCAATTACTTTTCTACAGAGGAATATGCAGTATCTATGCCAAATATATCCGGCACATCAATCTTCACTTCCTGGGTCAGTGTCACTGGATGACGTTCGACAAATGCCTCGGCAACAGTTTCCACCGGTTGTCTCTTCCTTTCATCCGTAAACGAAGCTAAAGACTCGGGACTCATCTTGTCACATGACTTGGCTCCTGTCTTTTTCCCCCTCTCGAACGTGGCCGTTGTCGACTCGCCCAGCGAGTCCATCCAAGGCTCGATTGATAAGGTAGGGATGGTTATGCTGCCAGCTAATTGCTGCTCGACTCTCAAGGACATGCTACCGATATTCCCTTCGGACATATTCACGACAGGACCACTGTTGACCGAGGACAACTTCCCGGTCGCTCCATCCGACTCTTTAATCATGGCCGTCAGAATGTCGTCGTTCGCACTTAGGGGAGCAACTCGACTCTCCTTGTCGATCTCGAAATTGTCACTCCCTGGGAAATCCCACTTATCATCGTCATCGTCATCGTTCTCATCGTGGCTCGTAATTTTCCAGGTCGCCGTTCCCCTACCGCGCTCATTTATACTATCTTTGGAGCTTTTCCTGCTGCTGCTCTTGGAGGAACCTTGGCTCGTTCTATTGACCGACTCCTTATCCAGCGATTTGGATGAATAACTCGAGCTCTTGGAAGAGACGGACTCGATGTCGCTATTATAGCGCCTAAGAGTCCTGGGTGCAGCGAACAATAGCGCGCCCCGTTCCTGATCCCGGTGTCGAGCATCCGGAGATTGCTGCTGGAATTCGCTTTTCGTTCTCGAAAGATCGGGCGACACGATCGTCACCGTCTTCTGCGTGGACGTCAACTTTTGACCTTGGACAGACGTGACAGTTCGCGCATTATCGTGTAATGCCAGCGGACTAATACCTGCAATCATCGCATTATTTAAATAGAAGCCCTAATTGCTTGAAAAATGCAGGCCTGAGATTTTCCAATGGTCGCTTTGCATATTCTTAAAACATAAAAACGTAAAAACACACAAACTTTAATGTATTTTTTAGAATTTTTGATACTATTTAATTCGATACATTATTTAAAAATGCACGTTTTTTATTTATAAATTATTATATCTTTGTGTGCTTGAATTTTACGTTAGAATAATTAGAATATAACGATACTTGACTACTTTGCATTACCAAGCAAAATTATTAGTTATTATTTTATCATCAATTCCAAATGAGTGCAAAAAAAAAATGAATATTTTCATTTTACCGTTCGAGCAGAGTTATAAAAAAATCCGGGTGAAAGAAAATAAAGAAGAGAACTTACCAATCCGATGCTCGGACTCTTCCGAGTGTACGTCGCTGAGACTGAAAGCTCTGACCCTGCGCTGTGCGTTCTTCTGGCTGATCTGGCGCTGCAAGAGTCCGGCTCTCCACCTAGGCATAGGCTTCAGCAGTTGGGCGGTTGATGCAGCGGTGGCGGCGGCGGCGGCGGCGGCGGCGACAGCAGCGGTGGTAGTTGAGGTGGCGATGGCGGCAGTAGCGGTCGCGGGTGACGCGGCCGGGGCAGGGGGTACGCCAATCTGCGCCGGCCTTAGAGAGAAACGCCTGTTGCTACCACTGGTGACCGGGACGGCAACCGGTGTCGAAGCACCCGGAGCCCCTTCCATCTGCACTAGTGGTTTTTTCGGGCAGTCGAGGGTAAAGTGCTCACTCGTGTAAGGTGGCGGGCTCTGCTCGTCCACCTGCGCTTGACCCTGTCGCGTAAGCACGAATGCCTTTGTAATAATCGATTATAGTAATGGAAGAATGAGCTTATGCAAGACTTTGCCACGACTGTTTCATATTATTAATTTACATTTTATGTAGTCTCTTTGTTATTTGTATGGCGCCTTACTATCTATCATTGGTATAAAAAATGACTTTATGCGAGTAATTAATAAGTGCACTATAAATATGTGTATTAAAATGTACTATATATATATATATATATTAAAATTCATAAATAATTACTTTGAATCGCTAATTTTTTAGCTTTGAGGCAGCAATTTTAATAACAATTTTTAATAAGAATAAGGATACTAGAAGGCTACTTGAAAATTGCAAAGCAATGTATGGCGATTGAAATGGAACAGTATTTATAAGTAAATTCTGTCATTTAGTCTTCAGGTGTCTCTTAAACGATAAGTCGCTTTTAACAATACACAATGACTATCATTTTTTGAGACAATCTTCAAGGAATTAAATATAAAAACACATGAATAAAACAATGCATGCTCTCTACTATGTTATACGCATAAATAAGTCAATAAATTATTTATTGAATGCTTTTTTACATAGATGTGAGTAAAAAGTAATAAAACGTATGATAATTTCATATATTTAAGTATTTATTTTGTAGATAAAAAAATATAAATAATTCCATGTTTCGTTTATCATGAAAAAAAAATCTTAATTATTGATTTCTAGCAGAATAAATTGTTGGCATTGAGTCAATTATTTGTGCAAGACTGAGCCGACTTGACTGGCTTAAATAAATATAAAAATTATTGCAAGTCTATGCTATATTTATGTACAAATAATATTATAAATTACACGTAAAGACATTATTTCGATACTCAAAAATACAGAGAATAAGATGTTTCTGTAAATCAAAATTGTACAGCTATATTCGTGTCATTAAATAAATACTTAGCTTTTGGCAATATTTAAATGCACGCATTTCTCAAAAAGATTTTATCCGTCAGTTTAAAATTTTAATATAGAATATTTAATAATGAGTCGAACGAAGAATTGTGAAAATTATTGAAATTGTATATATATATCGAACTATCAATAATTATATTATGTATGTGAATGGGTAACAAAATAGGATAAACAACTCACGGTGTTGTAAGAGTAGTGTGACGACGGGATAACGGGCCTAAGGGAAAATCGCCTGCTGGCTCTGGGAATTTGTTGCGAGCCCTGAGTCGCCCTCCGTTGATACATCGGAGTCGAGGTACTGGAGCTCTCGGCTGTCCTGAGGGAGAGTCGTCTGGCCAGTGCCCGGGTTCCGGCGACGCTCGTCACAGTGTTCTGCTGGCTCTGACTATGACCCATCGGCGGTGAGAACAACGCCAGAAGGCTCGGCAACTTGGGCGGTGTCAGAGAGGCCGTGCCAAGCTTACGCTGGGGCTGGGACTGGGGCTGAGTCTGGGGCTGAGTCTGGGCCTGTATCTGAGCCTGAGTGGGTCTCCGTAGTCCGGAGAACTCGTCCGGTACCGCTCCGACCCGCGTGTGCAGTGCAGTCAGAGCGCGTAGCAGATCCGCGAGAGAAGTCTCCTCCAGGAGACTGCCACCCGTGTGCGTGAAATACGGCCGCGAATACGAATAACGACGCTCCATGCCATCCGCACCAACGTTCCGACCTGCGTATATCGCAATGCCCATAAATATCACATGATCAAACATCCCAATGAATGAGGCGAGTGCCTCGAACTCACTCGAACTAAGGGCGTTGACTTTTTTGCGGTATTAGCGTGGTTCGAGCAAATTTCACGATTGGAGGAACGTTAATGAACATTAAGGGAGGATAGAATATGCTGCGCGAAGTCGCAAGACTTACCACCGGGTGTCTGTGGTTGCGATGCCGACTCCCTCTCCTCGTTAGCTGCAGCCTCGAAGTCATTGATCGAGCTCGTCCGCTCAGCTTGGGACTTCCTGACATTGAGCTGCCTCAGCCAACGTGGCAACAGCGTCTTTTGCACGGACTTGGGTAGGCCCAGTCCGAAGGAGAGAAAGCGCGATCTCCCGCCCTGCTCCTTGCGTGCCCTCATCATCTCCTGGATCTTACTGGAAGCCGCGGGTCCGGACCAGGTCCACTCGCACGCGCTCGGTTGCGGGAACATCTCGGGACGCTCGAGCCGTACCTCACTGGAGGCTCGGGAACGTGGTCTTGGCGAGTCCGCCCCAAGCTTCCACCTGAGGTCGTTATTCTGAATATGAAGACACGTTTAAGGAATTAGATGGTGCTCGATTGCCTGAAGATCGAAGCACTTTGGCACGAAACTTGCTTGGGGAATCGAGACTAATAAACGTGCTTTTTAATGCCAACTTATTCATATTTGTTTATTTATATTATTAATGGAGTTCTTTGTGCAACGGTCAATCTGTTATACAACAACTTGACACTGCAAGTTATCGCCCTCTTTACCAATGCTTGTTGTACAAAATACTATTAAAGCGATATGTTCATTTTTATTATTATCAATTTTCATAATTGAAAATTTTTAAATTCTATTTTCTAATATTACGAGTATTGAAATCTACACGTATCGTTCAATTATATATGACAGAGCTTGACAGGCTTTGACAGAAATTTGATTATTTTTCGCTTTATGCATCATTAATTTCTCATATATATATATATATATATATATATATATATATATATATTAATTACTTTTAAATAAATTTAAAGATTTAACATGAAGAATTTGTCAATTTGTAGTTTAATAACTATACTCGGATTGATGTATTGGGTAATATTAAAAATTATTTTGTTTATTTTATGTTCCGATCCAAGAAATATGATAAAAAAAAAATATATATATATATATATATATATACACACACATTAAATAAAGTTAATAAAATAATGTTAAAATTTACTTTAAATAAATCGATAATTTACGTATTTACCTTGTTTTTACTCTTCAAAACTACATAAATTAGTTTATAAACTAATCTTAAATTCGTACTTGCGATTCTTTTTTTACAGCCGATAGTTCCCCTCGGGTACAATTCTCACATTTTAAATCATCACTTAAAGAAAAACGATTTGCAAGACAAATGGCAGCTCCGTCCTTTGTAATATTAGACGCTTCACTTTCAATCGCATTAAATAAAAATCACGATATTTCTTCACGATGAAAGAGCAACTTACCGGATTCCAAGGTGATGCTTCACTCGCCAATATCTCCTTCTCGCTGAATCCTTGCACGCCAGCGGTCACGCCGATCTTCTCCGTCGGGTCAACGATGGTCGTCTCCTCATCATCCGGTGGTGGCGGTATGTAGCCGAGGATGTTGACGAGGCGAGCCAGAAGTTCAGCCGGTTGAACCATCGCGTGGGTGGCAAAGGTCGCGTGCTTATCGATGCGCTGGAGATCCGTTTCGGAGACAACGCGCGCTACCTGCGCCTCCTGATAGTCAAGTCATTAGTTAGACAGGAAATGTCGAAACTAGTCCTTATCGATTTATATGTTTTTCGGATATGGTCGTATAATTTTTAATTTGTAGTTTTTAGTATCATTTATCATTTTATGTTAAAATGTGCGAGAGGATGGTCCTTTGGGGGGGGGGGGGTATTATAAGGAAATTAATCATAAAATTTATAGGAAATTTGTTGATAATGTCGTAGGCTGATTGTCTCGAGGCGCATATTATTAATACGGTAATTAATGTTCATGCTCAGTGAATGCACTAAACGCTCGAGTAATTGTAAAATGAATTAAACGAATAATAGTTGCATGAAAATGTGGGGCAAATCACACGAAACGACTACAGCATGTTATTTAATTTAAAAATTGAAACGATTGTATTTGCTAGATAAATGAAGCAAATTGAATTGTACGAACCATAGGAACGACTTCGCTATTCGCTCGACGTCGTGGGTGTGGAGGCGTCGGTGGCTCAAGGCCGCCGTAAACCAATTCTCGTAAATCAGGAAAACTACTGCTACTTGGAAAGTGAGGCGGAGGCGTATCGTAATCGTACTGATCCATGTATACCCTCTGTAAGCATTATAGTACACATAATTAGCATTTTACAAAATAACGCATGCATAGATTTTATGTGATAATAAATGTATAAACTAAAATTATTATATATTAATTGATCTTTTTTTTCTTTTTTTTTTTTTCAAGTCATAGGAAAAATACATATAAATCAAAATTTTAGTAATAATTTATCTATTAATGCGTGAGAATGAGCATATATATATATATATATATACTTATAGAAACAGGCAGATAAATAAACTATTGACATATTGTTTTTAAATTTTCAACGATAAAAACAATGATGGCAATGTTAATAGGTGTTGCAATTAAAAAATATTTTTCCATTCATCGTTGTTATTGTGTAGCAATATTATAATTTCCTCTAATCGTATTAATCTTATAATTTGATTATTTATTTATAAAAGAATTTATTAAACTTGAAATATATCTTTTTTCCAAATTACATATGCGATATAATGAATATCGATTGATACCAGTGATCATATTTACAATTATTAAAAGAAATTTATTCTAATAAATATTAAAGAGCAACTTAAATACAACAATAGCAAAGTCCATTTGTGAGTTATCAACTGTTTTAATAATTATATCATCATAAATTTGATAATATAAAGATAAAAGTGAAAAGAAAACAAGTTTTTTAATTGAAATTACCTTGACTTTAGAGAGTTGAAGTTCATTGAATACCCTTCTGAGGTAATTGACATCTTCATTGAATTCGTTCCAAATTTTGCTCTGCGTGTGCTTAAGCTTAACGGCAAGCTTGTGTTCGAGTCTGGCGATTTTTTTACTAGTCATACCACGACCAATGAATGTCATAATCATGACAATGTATCCCAAGCCGAAAGAGATCCAACAGATTAGAAATGTCTTGTAAAGGCCAAACCAAATACCATTACCTTTTGTGTTATCCTGACCTAAATGATGTAAATATTTTATAAAGCTGACATGCTAAATTAAGATTGTTTTTTCATTTGAATTTTAACAACTCGTGTCATAATAAATTTGATAAAAGTTGTAGGTCACTTTTGACTCCAAAACCATTTATCGTAGTAAGAAAGAAGCGTTAACTTCTTCAATAGTTTGCAAATCATTAAAAGATTCAGTAACAAAAAAAAAAAAAAAAAAAAAAAAATCGTTCGATAGACCTAACGTGCAATTTAACGTGCAGTTTATTATTTGAAAATACATAATTAGACAAAAAAAAATTACATGTAAATTTATAATAAAACAGTAAAGATACTAAACAATAGCTCAGCAAAATATATAACAAAATTAACGTAATATAATATTTTAATATAACAAATAAAGTTTTTCACAATTATGAACAATATTTGAAATTTCAATTGCGCTTCTTACATAGATTCAAAAGCTTTTTGAGCTTAAGAGAAGAGGCATGCATTAAATCACCATAATTTTATTAATTATATTCCAGAATTTACAATATATAGTCGTAATGAAATTTAATAAAATTTATTCCCAAATATGCATTGTAAATATATACATAGAAATATAAATAACTTTAAAACATTTACACCTCAGGACATGATAGAATTTTGAAATACATAATAACTAAATCTCTTTTCTTAATTTACTAAATCAGATCTTTCAACAATAAGATAAATATAAATTAAGTACTTTTTTTCTATAGTACAAAATTTAATATTAAAAGCTCAAATAGATCGCTAAAGAAATACATCTAATAATAAATAAATGGGAAATTTTTTAAAAAAATCAAATTATTTAAAAGATTATATGAATAGTGATAGGAAAAACCTATATTGAAGTAAAATAAATCTTCCTTATACACATAATTTTACAAAGAAAAAATTCTATTTTATAATACATCAAGCACATGTGTGTGTGTGTGTGTGTGTGTGTGTATTTTGGTGTACTTAATTAAACTTGGTGCTTGCTAAAAATTCATTATAAATATCTACACATGTAAGTATATGAGTGCATCTGATCATGCATATTACAAGGTCCAAATAAGAATAATTTTATAAATAATTTTCAACTTTACTTACATTCGGAAATCTGCCTTTCCTGGAAAGCGTGAACGAACAGATTATATTTATTATTCATTAGTGCAGCCCTCATTAAATCATACGAGCGTTTAGGTTAAAAATAGATGAAAATAGATGAGTTTATATTCAAAAGACTATATGCTGGATTTTTTTCAACCCAAATCTAGACATATGTTATAATTATTTTCTTTAAAAGCCATAATAATAATTTATTATTTATTATAGAAATTGATTTTTTCCTATAATGTATTATAATTTAACATTTAATTATTTATCAGTTTTTGTTTTATCTTCCTTATAAGTATAAAGTTGGATTGCAATAAAAAGCGATTATCGCAATATGATATGATATCTAACATAAAAACTATAAAAAAATTCTTTATTAGAAGGGCTGCCTATACGTTTTACATACAAAAAATCTTATGCATATATCGTCAATAACGAGACTTGGAACTTTTACGATTCAAATCTTAATTTTGAATTGTATTTAGCAGAAGATCTCGATAGAAATGAGATTAGTTCATGTCATTGCAAAAAATATTTCTTCTAAAGGAAAAATAACTCAATTACTTTAATCGTTATATAGTTATATTATTTAAATCAATCTCACATGTATTTTAATCATGGAATATTCAACATGAAATATTAATTTAATGTTTGAGTTATGTTAACTTCGTAATTAATATTTACTTATAAAATAAAATTATTTAAAAAATTTGTATTTCATTTTATAATCTGTAATTTAATAGCTTACCATTTTCAAAATAAATTTGAGTATATATAAAGATAGTTTTATACTATCGGTTTTCTAGATACGCAGTTTCAAGCAGTGAGTTTCATCAACCTAATACTAAAACGAATAATTCCGCCTCAATACGTGATAGTTTTACCTATTTTGGACGGCAACCTTTGTATTCAGCATAAAAACAGACAAACAAACGAATTTAAGGCAAACAATAAATTTAATCTAAAAAATCATAAAGTTTTATTCTTTCATATAGCAACAAGTTTTAAATAAAAATCTTCCGACTGGCCTAATTGGTATGAAAAACATATATTCACATTCTTATATATTATATGCTCAACATAATATGTTCATTGTTTTAAATTTTATATCAATGATGAAATGAAGAATATAACTATTTGTTTAACTTTATTCTAATATAAATTCCATTGTGCAATTATCAATGATTTTATCATAGTATTATCGGATGCTACATTGGTATTAGTAACCCAATTGTAGTAGCTTGAATGTCAGAATTTTTTTTTCACATATAAAATTATGCATGAAGTTTAATTTAAACATTAGTACAGTAAAAATTAGCAGTATCATAAACATTTCTTAATAAAAATTTATGATAATTTATAAAATTGCTGTTACAACTTATTCATGATATATACTTTCTTTTATTTACATATTTATTTAATTTTTTTACACATTTTTAAAATAATGTTCTAAAATAAAACGTTATAAAAAAAGTTTTGAAATTATTACATTCATTTTATTTGATTCATGTGCATATTTTAAAATAATATACACAGCCCATTTATAATGAAATTGAATTTTTAAATATAAATAAAGTGCAAGTGTTCAGCCTCATTGCATACAGAAAAAGTATCAAGATTTCAAGGTTATAAAATCGAAAACGTAAATAATATGCATTCACTGACACGTACAAGCGGCACGTTCGGTATTACTGTAAAATGCGAAAACATTAATAACACATATTAATACATATGTTCAGGAATTATCTTACATAATGTTTAATATTTTAAATACAAAATAGCCACATTATTTATTATTACAATGATTGGCGCCTCGACCTTTTATACAGCAAAATGTATATTATTTCACACCTATAGTTTGTTATTCAAAAAGAATTTTCAAGATTAAATAAATATTATTATCCGTCTATAATCCATCAGTTATTAATAATAGATCTATACAACAAAATTTTAATATTAATTTGATCTTAAGCAATTATAAAATATAATGGAATGTTTTCATTAAAGATGGAAGGTTACTATCTAAGAATCAAAACTAGTATAAATGTAAATAAACAGATAATTATCAACACTATTCAAAATATTAAATCGATGATTTAAACATAATGACATTAAAGTGTGTTAATTTGCATTATAACACGAATAAAATTATTGTTTTCAATTTGTCTATTTTTAAATTCTTTTATTTTACAATGTTGGTAACGAGATCAGTCAAATCACTTATAGATTTCCTCTAAGGACGTATGAATAATTAATATTTTATCTTTTTATATTAAGCCTATAATGTTGAGCTTATAGTAATATTATTATAAACTTAAATTTTCTGAATTAGGCACGTATTTAATTATATCTTAAAAAATGATTGTATAATTTGAATTTAATAGATACCCTTTAAATTTTATATTCTTTAATGATGCTTCTTTAAAAAATGAAAAATAATAAAATTAATCTCATGCTAATTAATTGATTAAATATTTAACACGTTCGATTTAAATTTAATTAACAATTAAATTTGCAAATAATTTAATTAATCAAAATAAGAAATATTCACAAATGCAGGAATCCATCCATATAATATTAATAAAATTAAAAATAAAAACTAATTAAATAAATATTTAGCTCGATGAAATATTACACGTTACGTTGTATTAAATAGGTGAACTTGTACCCAAAACTCGTCTAATCTCATGTGTCATATAATTTTGAACAATAGATTTTAGATAAATAGTAAAGTATATCCATTATATATTTTTACGTTAAAGCACTTATAGTTTATACTGATAACAGAAATCAACTACAAAGCCGTAGATAAGTAATAAAAATAAATTAAGTTATGATCGTTACATATCCTACACATTGCGAATGTAGTAGTAGTATGCCTCATTTTTTCCATTAGTGAGACAATATTTTATTTTATTTCTATGACGTATATTTTTGTATATATGCAAAATTCTCAATTTAGTAAATGTATAATTATGAAATTTTTAAACTGTCATTTTTAGATATTTTATATAAGTATTTTATTTCGTATGAATTTATTATAATGATTATATAATGATTATATAATAAACCTCATTATTTATAAATTTCGTCAATTTATCAATTAACTGTCAATTTTATAACATTTTCATTTTACAATGTTTTATTATATTTTAAACATTCAGAATACTTGAGATTTTCCGTGTATGAGTTATAAAATACATCTTAAAGAAAATTAGTAATAAATAATAACTCACTATAAGAAAATAAAATAAGTATTTTATTGAATATTTTCCAATTAGTTTGTATTGTCCATATTTTTATTTTATTGTTTGCATCCATAAATTATTTAAAAAATCATGTATATTCGTATTCGATACAACTAAAGAGCCTTCAATTTATATCATAATGAATGTTTTTTAATTTATTACCCCAATTCTCGATTTATAGTTAAAAAGAAAATTAATTGATTGTAACATTATAAAGAGAAATTGCTGATAAATCTCTCCTGGCATCTTGAAAGCATGTAAATGATAAATAAACAAATAAACAAGTTTAAGTGAGCCTAGATAAGTATTTAGTTTTGTTAGATAATTGTAAAATACATGTAAAACACATGAACATTTTATCGCAATAGCTTCATATTATTATTATACTAATCATAGTGTGGCAATTTTCTTAGATTTTATTGCAATGGCCATCTATGATTTATGTAACATATGGTAGAATTAGAAAATTCCTTTCAAAATAATATATTAATTCACTAATTCCATAATCGTAAACATTGTTAATAAGCCACGTATTACACGAATAAGCCGACAGCCGTATTCGTTAATTCTCCAAAGCCCATTTAATTACTGCTCAATATAATTTTTAATCGCATAGATGATATGCTATTTCCCTATTATGTGTGTGTATGGTGGGAGATGGGGGGGGGGGCTACAACAGCAGGATCAGAACTAACGAACATTGAACTTACCCGCAACGTAGTCTCCAAAACCTATGGTGGTCAGCGTGACAAAGGCGTAATATACCGCCTCGTCGTACGTCCATCCCTCGTAATACGAGAAGAGGAAGGCCGGAAAGAAGATGAACATGACGAAACCTGGCAGCAAGTACATGAAGATCTGCATAGCCAACCCGGCCCTCCTCTTCTCCAGTGACGTCAATGACTTCTTCGAGTACTCGTTCTGATTCTGCTTGTAGGACTTGTACTTGCGCACTGCCGTTACGAACACTTGCCCGAAGAATTCGCCCAACTGTGCGAGCAGGATTCCGTTCATGGGTATGCCGACCAACGCGTAGAAGATCATGAGCACACGACCCAACATATTCGTTGGGGCCAGATTGCCGTAACCTACGGACGCAATTGATTATGTAAATTATCGTACCACAACTATTTACGATGTTCAATTCAGCCTGAACTGCTAAAAGTTATTTTCATTTGGTGAATTTGAATTTTTATCTCTTAGCTTCTCCTTCGTTTTTTGTTTTTAATAAGTTTTATTTCAAAACCTCTTCTTTTGACATTCCAGTAAAACTTATTTTATGTGACAAGATTATTTCTTTGCCTAACACACCGGGGTAAAGTCATCAAAATTATAGTAATAGCTTTTACCGTCGCAAATATAAATAAATAATTAGCGCCTATATAATTAATAAGGCTGAAGATGAACGATAAATTATTTGATTTCGTATGTCAACAATTAAGCTGTTATTGTTAAAGTTGCGCGCACTAATTCAAAATGTTCCATGTACTACCCAAGTTCTTTCTATTATCGCTAGTTTGCCTAACTCCACGTGTAAATATTATTAATCTTTTTAAAATGAGGTATATTATATACCATTTATTATTGTGTTATATAATTTAAATGAGTTCACTCTATAATTTCATTCCACGTTTAAATACTTCAAATTAGATTCGAAAAGTCTACTTATGTTGAAACTTTTAAATGAAAATAGGAATATTTAAGTGAATTTTTAATACCGCTCTTTATAAAGAATAAGATCCTCTTATAAATAATATTTGTATTCATGACTGCAAACTCTAATGTTCTATTAAATTTAAAAATTTAAAAATAAAATTTAATTTGTTATTTAACCGGAATGACGTTAATTTATAATCAACTCCCAAAAAAATTAATAAAAATAATAAATAAATGATACTCTAATATCAAAATAAAAAATAGCAGACATTAAAAGCTTTTAATGTAATTTATATATTAATTGTTTTGCATTTAAAGACTTTGCATAACTATATATTTCGAAATTTATTTTTCAAGTTTATTACACAAGCTTCTTCTTAATTTAAACGCGCAATCAATTAAGCTTAATCTCTTTATACGTAAATCATTTAATTTTACATAACTCTAAATTTTCATTAATTAAATAATTATTTTAAAAAATCAGAATCTTTTCAAATTGATTATGTTAAGTAATTAATAGCAAAATCCGCTCCAGACTGCGAAACATGATACACTAAATAATTTAACAATAATGAAAATGCAAGTTTATAAAACTCTAAGAGTAAAATCGATTTAGCAAATGTACCATACTATGTCATCAAATTGCCTATTCCAGAACTATGACAAATTAAATCAAATAACAATTATTCGAAGAATATAAAATATAAATTATATAATATAAAATTATGAAATAATACAATTTCTTTATAATTGAGAATACATTTTCCAAATGCACATTATATTGAATCTTATATTTTATTATACTCTCTCTCTCTCTCTCTCTCTCTCTCTCTCTCTCTCTATCTATCTATCTCTCTATCTCTCTCTCTGTTTCGGAGAATAATGATATTTTCATGGTGCATCGCTCATACATCGTGTGAATTACTTATTCGATGATTTGCCGCTCGAATAAGTAACTTTTGATACGTGAGATAATTGAGCGTTTTTATTTAATGAATTATTTATTGAATCCTTTACATGAAACTCGGCGATGATCGTTGGACTCCAGTTATTCGTAACAGACAGGCCAAAGTTCTCGATGCGTCCGCCTCTCGACACCCTAATCGTGTTGGAGTGTACACGAGGCGTTAGCGAGATTATTTTTGTTTTCGATTGTCTCATATATCAGGCACTTGAACTCAGCGCTGATGATGGCCTTCGCTGGTTCTCACGAACGATTTTCTCCGTCGCTCTCATTCTCACTCGATGGCTTTTCTTAGTCAATTTTCTTTAACGATTGCTCGACTTTGATTGAACTCTAGCCGAGAGGGTGAATCTTCGGCATATCCAATATCACAGGTGTCGCACCTTTTTGTCTTTCACAGCTATCGTTTCGCCGATACAGACTCCCTGCAAGCTCATCCGATGAGCTAAGTATATATAATCTTATATCCACTATTTTCATTCAGAAAAACGTTGAGGAGATTGTCGATAAGGCTCGACGACATGTGTCACAGCCCTTCTTCTCTTCTCTCTTACACATTGCGGTTGTAGCAGAGGCAGCTCTTACCCTTTGCAAACAAGTCTTCTATGGATTGGTAAAAGCTTATATGCGCATGATCGTATATGTTAATCGCTCATGCTAGAGCTTCAATTTTTATTGCTCCCTTGATAATTGAGTAATATTGAATTTAGTGATCACGTTTATGATAGGCAGTATGCCGAAAAGTACTATATAAAAGCTCCTTATAGTATTAAATATCAAAACTTTTTAAAACCAATAACAAAACTTTTCATAATTTTACAAGTAGTATTTTTTTATTTAAATTGTCTAGTGTTCTTCGATAATTCTTCGATCGATATTACATAAGAAAATTAAGTTTCTCGTCCGAATTCTTTACAGTTTAAATGCTAATTAAAATTCGATCGAAATTTGTTTATAACATTATACATTTACCTAATAATGTCAATTACACATTAGAATTGCTGTCGCAAACAGTTTCACACATAATGATAATATCACAATGGACACTGAAGTAAGCTGAAGTAAGCTGTCCTTACGAATTTATGATACAATTTATGACATAATTTATGACATTTTTGTCCAAATATACAACCTGAGACATTTATATGAGAACATATTATATTTTAATTATTTATTAGATTTGTTATCAATTTGTTTTAATTTTTGAGTTCTAAGTTTCTACCGTCAATATAAGAGTACACGCTGTCACTGTATCTTTGAGTAAGCAATTTGTCAGCGTTGACCAATTATGCAATTATATTTGCCTCATTTATGGACTTATTTATCATAAAAGAGTTTATTTTCAAACTTTACACATTAGGCTGTATAGGCACATAACATCATTAAGATACTCGATAGCCCAGATATAATTGGTTTATCGGAACATTTTCCTTTCAGGGCTATCGATATTCGTGCCAATTTGGTGCAAATGTCTTTTAATACTGTTATCTTCATGACCATTGGCTCTCCTTCATGTTAATTGAATAAATTTCAATTAAATAGATCGGCTTTCGCTATAAACATTTCTCTATTTCTCAACGCACAATCTAAACTTCTTGACATAAAATAAAAGAGAATTATAGTTAATTACGATGGACCTCTCATTCATATTTTATTTCCACTGTTTGAATTTTGTTATATTTTTTTCACTACATTCTCATGAACTTACAATAAATAAGCACTTAAGATTTAAGAACAATAAATTTTCAATTTTTTTTTTATAAAATTTAAAACAATATAATTCAACAAACTGATTATATATATACATATATATATATATATATATATATATATATATATATATATATATATATATATATATATATATATATATATGTATATAAAATAAGGTATAGATGGTCAATATAGAAATCTGCTAGACACATAAAACTTATTTCACTTATTTCACGTGTAATAAAATACAAGTTTGGTAGAGAAAAGTATTCTTGCAGAAGTATTACTTATGAAGATTTAAATACAACAACGATATTAATAGTGTAATGCTATTGGAGTTCCAAAATATCTTCAAAATGAATTCAAAATAAAAGTTTTTAGCAGACACAGAAATTTTTAACCCATTAATCTCTTAACAACGTATTAATAATTTTAATCACTTTTAGACTGGAATACAAGTTGAATTTACTTTTAATTAATAAAAATAATAAATAAATACATTTTTCTTCAATATCGTTAATAGTATTATCCAAATTTTAAGGCGACTTTTAATAAACTGGCAAACACTGTTAATGAAACAATAAATCTACTGAAAAGGGTGACGCGATTGGACTGGAGACTCCCGTAGCCGAGAAACGGCGGAAGTTCATTGGTAAGTCATCCTTACAATATCACATAGTATAGTTTCATTCGTTACAACTTAGGAAACTCAGATAGAATTGTGTGAGGCATCTAACGAGGAAAACATCTTGCTTTCTTGATTTCAAACAATCCATTTTATCTTTAATGTAGTATCCCGAAGCGATGTATTTGGATTATATGGAGTCAACGAAGGTCATAAACGCACAAAATATATTGAAAATTATTATGTATTTCCAAATGTTATTTCCAATCAGCTTTTTATCTATATAGTTGCAAATTAGCGATTAATTTTAATTTTGAGTAACGATGAAATTTCACATAAATTTAATTAATTGCCAAGTGATTCTATAATATTATTTAATATGATTTGTGCGCTAATATGATTTAATAGATGTGCACATAAATCTGAAAAATAATTGTAAATATTTCAATTATGTCCTATAAATCTGAATCGGATGTTAGTAACATATATATATATATATATATATATATATATATATATACATATTAATTATAATATAAGGTGGATATATTATAATATATGGATACCACTTCTGAAAATACTTTAGTTAACCTTGTAGAAGATTGGTAATCTCATTAAATGCATAGATTTACTTAAAAAGATAAGATATCGTTTAATAATTTATATTTGTAATTTAAAAAAGAATTTATCAAGTTTAAATATATGTGTACAGCTAAAATAGTTGATAATTTAATAACAATATATCAAGCGTTATAATAATTATAATTATTATGTTAGATTTATCATTATCTAGACCTACAGTAGATTATTACGGTAAATCTATCTTAATAATTAAATAAGTGTATAATATCTATTTTTCCGTTTAATAGCTCAATAAAGATTATTTTTAATGTGTGCTTACCAATAGTACTGACGACTGTGTAGGCAAAATAAAAACTGTTGTAGAAATCCCATTTTAAAGGATCGAATTCACCTTCACTATAGTTATGGACAGATTTACCGCAGTATCTTGTGAGTTTGTCTAAAATTTCATGCTGGTCATGACCTCCACCCGGCATATAATGTTCAATTAAGAGAGCTAAAACAAATGTTTAAGTGTAAATGTACGGGCACATATTCAATTGTAACTGGACTAATGCTAATATAATTGTCTAGAGCATTTAAATTATGAAACAATATCAATTAACGATTGTACTTTTACTTACAATATCCCTCTCTAAACACTTTTAACGTTGGAAGAAAATTCTTAAATATGTATCATAAAGATATTATGGCGAAAAGTAAAAAGAGGAAAATAACACAATTAATTTATATAAAGAATGTAAGGTTATTTGTTTGAATGTATGCAGTATCTTGAACGTTGCTGTCCTGAGACTTCGTCTGACGTATTTGCAAAATGAAAAATTTCAGCGCCGACGCATAAATGTCTTATATAAATCCACATGTGAATCCTTATACGCATAGTAGGTTATATGTTAATGACAATTACCATATTTGTTGATGTATATGTTCGACACTCAATGATACATCTAATCGATGATCACTTTTTTGCTTTTACTGTAAATTTCTTTATGTTGAAGTTATGTATGATAAAATAGACTTATCAAGGCTGACAATCAGCAGCACTACGATTTATTTGTATACAATATAAAAATATATTTCTTCTCAAGCTCTGTCAAAATTTTGCCTTAACTTTCATCTTTGTATTCATACTGTGAACAGTTTCATTATATTTTTGGATAATTCGAGACAAATTACTATTCCATTAATATGACTTTTTGTTCATCAATATAAACATTAAGTATATGAAATCTTTACGTTATGTGTAACAATCAAAGTATGTGCACGTTCGTTAAATTCTTGTACGCAATTTTATGCGTATATAATGATTTTCTTCTATCGATTCGATATATAGAAATTATAAAATAGAATCACCCAAATACAATTACAATATAGAATCACCCAAATACAATTACAATATAGAATTACAAAATTAACGTATCTTTTGAATTATTTCAAAAAGTATAACTTATCGTCATAATAAGTCTTATTGCTTAATGCCAGTACAGATATAAAATAGGAATAAAAATAAGTAAGTTTAACGATTTCTTTATATTAGAGTAATTCGAAAACATTGAAATTAAATGTTATTAAATTATTGAAAAAGACCTTTTTCGTAAAAATCTGTCTGACTTTATAGTAAAACTCGATTTAAGGAAAACATAATTATTATTAAAATAAAGACTTTAAATTTTTTTTTCATAATATTTCGAATAAATTAGTAGTGAGCGAATTGAATAGTAGTTATCTATTAATTGTAATAGGATATAAGAAATTGTATATAAAGTTATAAGAATATCAAATATAAATACCGATATTCGTCGATGTGTACTTTTTTCTTAAGGAATATAAGAAAATATTTGTCTAATCACATTCATCATTATGTGTGTAATATTTGTAAAGAATCGACAGCTACGGAATGTCAAATTTAGCGCGCGATAAACTTTATCTACTATGCCGTTTAAGCGATTATGTTACGAATGACAGTTATCATTGCTGCCTGTAAATAAATCCGCTATACACCTACCAAAATTATCAATTACCGCATTTATTTCCCGAAAATTATATATTTTCACATTATAATTTTGTAAAATATACTAGAAAATTATTAGAAAATTTTTCTATACATAAAATTCTAACTAACTAATGTAAATTTTATTTTTATTAAATGAATCTATTATAATTCATTCATTTTATTTATCAAATAATTTTCCCGCCGATGTTAATTTACAATCAAATTTATTTTTATAGCTGTTCATTCAAAATCTGTATAATATTTATTATGAAAATATAAATATTCGGTACTGTATAAAATAAAGGATTATGTTGATATCTACTGAAATATATAATGATTTAATGTCTATTGTTAAATATCACAATAAAATTTAGTAAATTCTGAATTCTCAAATAAACGCATATCAAATGGAGTTTAGTTAGAAATTTGTAATATCTAGAGTTGCTTCATAATTCCATCAACTTTCTAAGAACTGGCCATCCTAATCAATTGTATCACCAAAAGCAGATTTTTCAAACATTAAAACATAATTATAATTGGTTCGTTTCAATAGATCGGAGTAAGTTGGCATGGCATTATTTGTTAAAAAGATATGTTCGATTTTTAAAAAATTTGTGCATATAAATTATTTGATACATTTGATAAAATATTATTAAATATTGAACTTATGTTTTATGATGCAAATTAAAGATAATTTACCATTCATTCAATCATTTATCACAAGTACGCGCCTATATATATATATGCAATATATATATGTGTGTGTGTGTGTGTGTGTGTGTGTGTGTGTGTGTGCGTGTACGCGGGCATGTAACATATATATATGTATCTAATAATTAAATTATATCGAATTACTTAATATAGAATTAAAAACATATATAATATTTTGTAAATTATGGGAATAAATATAAACAATTATCAGTTCATAAAATTTTATTAATAAATTTAATGTAATTCATTAGAAGAAAAAAAACATATGTTACGGAATATTTTTATTAATAGTAATATGACGCCTATCTGTGTTTATAAATGATAAAAATATGAGTTCTATGATATTTTTTTTGCTCCTAAATAAATATTATTTTTATCAATAGTAAATTATCTATAGCCTATTATATTATATAAATACACTATTATATTAAACAAAAATATACTAAAGATTAAATTAGTAATCATATATTAAATCAATGGTATACGAAATTGTTTATTTAGATTTTTTTTTTTTTGGTTGTGAAAATATTTTATTAAATTTTTTTCATTAGTAATAATAGTAATAATGAGAACATATTAAATAAAAACTTATAGCCTATCATAAATATCATAAATACTTATTCACATAAATTACGAAGAAAAATACAAACATATTTATTATATTATTTATGTAGATAAACAAAATTATTGCTTCCTTTTAATCGCGTTTCAATCATTTACTTCTCTAATTGTTTCGTTTATGCTCTATGTGATTTTCTCAGTCTATTATATTCCAGTGCTTACATATTAAACAGTAGTAGGCTCTAGCCAAAGTAATTTTAGATCTAGCTGCAGCTTCTTTAATAGAATCGCTTCATATTATCTTATCAACTGTGGCAATACTGCGTGTATATACATTGTATTTTTGTCCAATTAAATGCCTCTGGGCCGAGAGTACAAAAGGTGTTTCTATTTCCTAACTACTGCGAATAAAAATATAAAATCCGCATAATTGTTAGCCAATATTCTATTATAGAATGTATTTAAGTAGTAGATAAACGAGTTATAATGAGAACGATCATTTTGTTTGTTACAAATAATTTTCATTTTACTTATAAATAAGGCATAAAATAAGGCAACAATCGAAGAGATTTTCTGAAAATTAAATATAATATTTATAATTACGTGCATTGAGCGAGTAATAATCACTCTTAAAATTATATTATCCGAATTTTAAACATATTATAATTGAAAAATCAATGTAATAAATTAAATTTCCTTTACGGATTATTGTTTACATCATAATATTTAAAATTTGTAATAATATGACAAAAAAAAAAAAAAAACATAAATTAAGAAATGTTTTAATTAAACAATAATATTTACATTAAAAAGTATGTAATTAAATTTCCATTTTGAAGAACAATAATCCGTTATATTGTGCTAGTGACCATCTCATATTTTGTTTGATAATATTTAAAATTGCACGTAAAAATGTAATAAACTTGTATTTTCAGAAAAATCGTTGCATATTTTCGTACGTATATGAGGTATTACTTATGCTATGGATAGATAAGAGAGATTTTATCTGTGTGCTTAGTTTTGTATTGAATATTAAATTTGACCAAGATTAGATTAGGGTAAAAGTACGTACTTAATAAAACAATTACTCCTATTAGATATAAATAAAAAAAATTTAAACCTTAGCCATACAGATATTGAAATATTTTATAGATGTTTCTCACTTGACTTTTTATTTATTAATAAGTTCCAGTCATTTCACATAGATTTATATTAAAAGCAATACAATTAATAAATTTAGTCATTTAATATAGGATAAAGAGAAAAATTTTATTCATTGAAAATTTCCTATATAGATATATTATAGCTGAAAACTCCATTATAAGATTAATGTTTCAATTAGAGTTATAAACATTATTAAGTTTATTATCTTTCAGACAGGTCTGTAATTAGTAATATTATAGATCACTGATTATGCCATAATTGTAATATATCCCAATATAAATGATCACATTGTATCACAATCTAAAGAAGCACATTCGTTTATTAGTATTTCTCTGTGCACTGCCGCGATAAATGTCATTCTATTAATTTCTAGATAAATCGAAAATTCCTCGAACAATGGTTAAATTACTTTTCACAAATACTAAATTCTACTACAGAATGTATTAATGTAGTTAGAAAATATATCCTTTATTGTATTAATGTAAATAATTCAAAACGGCATATTATGTTATTAAGAAAACCGATGTATCGATATAACTAAAAAAAGCTAAAGCTCTGATATTAATTCTTCTTAAATAAAGTGTTTTTCTTAAATAATTTTATATTATATTATATTATTGTTTTAAACAATTTTTTTATTAACTACAATAATAACGCTGTATTTATCTAATATAGACATCGTTTTAACAACTAGTTTGACATCCTTTTTATGAATCAGTCAACGAAACATCAGCTATATTAGATAAATACTGCCTCGTCATTTTAATCGAAAATTTACTTAATTTAATAACTAGAAACCTAAAACAAAAATTAATTTATTATATATTATGTTAAAAGGTAATTGTAAAAAGGTGTTAAAGGCATATTCTCCAGGCACTAGATATTGCTTTAGCAATAATAAATTCAGCACGATATCGAGTAATTTTTAAATAAAAACATTTTAATAAAAAAATTTTATTTCGAAGAATCAAAATATTTCTACATGATTTACATATACTTATATGTCAAAGTGAATATTTAAAATTGTAAGCAGGTTATATATATATATATATATATAAACATTATAT